CAACCTTAAAAACACTGACGTTGACTTAATGGTAGTCTCGTGTGGACTACAGAGATCACTTTTTGTTGTGCGAGAGGAAAGCTATATCCGAAATCTTTTTATGGTGAAGATTATTCGTATACAAGTTACCTAACTTGACGTGAAGGGATTACTAGCCTACTCTTACCTTTATCCTCTTCGCCACTGATCGGCTAGTTTACACATCAAGTATACAGTAAAAGTTGATTTTTTTTGTCACTACCGGAGATACCAGAAAAAAATCATTAATTCTCTAATACACCAATGATGAGTTTTTGGAGGGATGAAGTCCAGTGGTGCCCAAAGTGTGAACTTGAAGCAGAAGTCTCGGGAATTAGTTTTCGACTTCTGGCTAAAGGCATGAATATATCAGAGTAATATTGTAGGAAAATATGAAAAGTATTGATTATAATAGAGGACTCAAAGGCGACAGTTGTGTGGGTGAGTCTTGTCCATTACCTGGCCTCTTAGTCAATTGTCAAGTTATTTCAATTCATAACTTTAATCTTCTCGTGAAATAAGCTGGGATGTGTAATCTTCAGGTGAAATAAGCTGAGATGTTTAATCTTCAGTTAATCCAAAAAAACATAATGGACCGAAACCCTTAAAGACAGAAACTGAAACTAACAAATAGACTGAAAAATGCCATCAGTGTTAGCCTATATGTTAAAATACTGTTACATTAACGTATACAATGCCTTCATAATGTAGTAATATTTGTGACTAAACCAAACACTTCAAATACTCGGTACAAATATTCCTATGCAGAGTTGTTATGTTAATGAATGTTCTCAACTATTCTGAATGCTGACCTAAATATACAAATATTCCCAAGTCACAGCAGACATAATTGGCTCACAAGAACGTCACGGAGATGAGCTAAGAGCGTTGACTTGCGCATAAAAACATGTCGCGGATGTACCAGAGTTCCCGCCACCTGATTATACCAAGATCACCACTTTGTGCTCTACTCCCCGACGCTGTGTGTGTGTGTGTGTGTGGACCCAGGGTGTACATCACGCCGTCAACCACTCACATTATTCACCAACACCTTTCATCCGCATACACGTATAAATTCCCTATAATCATCAACTTGAATGATACATAATGTGTAACTCCACACTGAAGCCTTATACAACCCAATAGTTTAACTTGAATTAAAAATGTACCTAAATTTAAAACATCGGGCTACTTACAGTATATGGCTACCCGCCCCCCACAATCCTTCACACTTCGGGAAATTATCGGTAACTCATTTCACGATGTTTCCTTTCTATCAACAATTCATACACACTGTAATTAGTTATAATTCAATATTTCTAAGTTGAGAGAACAAATGCACCAGATAAACTCTATTTTGTTGTCTCGTAACTATTCTCGGTGTGCACCTGTATTTATATTCCCCTCACACGATAATTAACCAGGGAATTTCACGTGCTCGGCCACAGAAACAGGTGTACCTTGTGAGAGGATCACCTGAAGATTACCCCTCCCGTGTTATTTCCCATGATCAACTACACCCCCAAGTAGCTTTGGTATTTGCAGGTGATCCAAATTTCTTAACTAATGACCTTATAAAATAGGTGAAGTTTATCTATGTCAGGAGTGCTGTAAAATTACTCGGAGGTGTTGATCTTCACCAGCACTACTCGTCATGGCTTCGTGACTAGAATCCATTTCCCTTGTAACCTTCAACATCGCGAACTATCTCATGTTTTCAGCAAGACCTTACGCCGATGACTGCTGGTTTAGCCACTGCCATATGAAGGCCAGGGAGAGAGAGAGAGTAGAACATGACAAAGGGGACTGCATAAATATTATCTCTATTATTTCCCAAGCTTATTTCACTTGATTTAACACCCTAACACTACCCACAGGTTAGGTTTCGAGTAAATTAATGTATCTTAGCGTTAGGGTGAAATAAGCCGGGGGACTATCCAAGTGATTCAACAGCGGCTAAAATACAGACTGCGTAATACAATACCATGAGTACAATGCTGCCAGGAACAACTTACATTTTAATAGCGCGAGATTAAAAATATTATAGTGCAAATGATATTAATTTCATCGTGGTTTTACGTAAGTCTTTCACTTGGACTTGGTTATCAGGCCAAGTTTTCAATCTTTACTTTTTGTTGATAACTAACCTAGCTAGGCTAACTTAGTCCATGCTAATAATTTGGTTGGGTTAGGTGAGTTAGGTTAGGTTTTTTATACTTTTATTTTACGTTATTCCTTACTGTCTCAATATACGTCACCTTCAGCTTAATTGTTACATGTTAACGACACAAGCGGCTAACAAGTCGACCGTGTGACAAGTGGCAAAGAGGATCAAGTACTGTACGATTTCTACCAAGCATTATCTAATCCCTTTCCTTTCACTTCCCCAGACCAACTCCATTATGCTGATTAAAATTAACTGAGATCTATTAGTATCATCAATAGTCACCAACTCTCACCTAAAATTGATCAAATGTGCAAGATTTCTACGTCAATCCAAGTTCCCACATGCCAGCGTGTGATGGTGAAGCCCATGTGACTCAGCTAGTTGTATGTTATAGTAACTCTTCCACTGTGAACAAGTTTAAGGCAAAACGAGATTAACTCTGGTACTGTCAAAATCACGCCCATCATCACACGATAACACAACTACCTGTCAAATATTAGAGAATATATATTTTTCCGTAGTTTAATAATCAGAATAAACTGTAATCACAAGCAATGCCACGCCACATAAGAATTTACACCAGTTTAAAATTTGGATGTTGAGTGAGCATTAAGTAGTTTCATTACACTGCCCACTTTGTTTACCAGTTTGGATTCCCCTCTGGTGTCTTTGCCGCTTGTCAACACGTCAGCCAAGTTCTGATAGGTCTAATTATACAAGTGAACATGGCCACCTGGCTACTGGCCATGTACGAGACGGATCCCGCCTAAACTCCTGAATGTCTCGGAGGTAGGGAATGTGAAGATAAAAATAATCAGAAAACGAATTACCGAACTTACATGTGGACATTTGATGCCCCATCCATACGGTAACTCGACTATTCTCCAGTTTCTTTGTTTGACCACCAATTCGTCAGAGTTTTCCTACTGTTCACATTCAGTCTGGTCGATGGAGTGATGTATCCACCACGTCTTGTCAGAGCATGCGAAGTTCTTGCACCTTACTTTCCCCTCCTGCCTGCTCAACTACTGTCTTGTGTTTACATACATCACACCTTTTGCTTCTTTCAATGTCACTGTGCTATTGCCACACTCAATAATGGTACAGATCCTTATTTCATGCTAAATATTGTGAATATTACTCAAAACTATGAAACAAAGTTAGCAAATACACAAGTATAACTGTATCCTTGAATATTTTGTTTATCCTGCGGTCGGCCAAGGCGGGAGACGGCGAATGGCGCCTGCGCGTTCGAGGTTGTGAAATACAGTATTATGTATTACAAGATTGGGATATTTTGCGAACTCCAAGAGATTCATATTTCGCAACTAGTAAAATTGCTAATTATTGTAACCAAATGCAACGAATTAACCTTGTAACACCTAATGCTATAATAACCTGACAAATGGCAGCTAAGATTGGCAAAGATCCTTGTGATTTCGGTTCTGTAAACACATTTTTGAACTATCATTGAACAAGAAACTATATCAGCTGCTCATGACATGATTTAACTAAAGGTTTCTGTATAAACTCTGCAATATTATTTTCGTTCACATAGCGTATTACATAATTAAATGGGGATTAAGTTTACTTCATGTCATTATATTACGTATGAATGCATAAAATCAGCAACAGTCGTGTAGTTGATAGCGGTCTACACTTTGACTAGTTTCCTGTTAATGTGGAGTACTGTACCTCAAAGGCTCGGTTCTTGCTCCTACCCTTTTTAACCCTTCTTTTCGGCAGCTCTGACTACTGATTTATTCCACCGTTATTGCTTTGTGAATGGTCTAGACCTCCAAGTGCTACATCCAGCCTAATGATCGTATTATCACCTAATTAGTACAGTAATTTAGGTGCAACTATAGGGTGCCGTCTACAAAAATATTTTTAATCTAACCTAACCCAACCTGACCTAATTTAAACTAACCTACCGCTGCACCACCAACACCCCTTACATAGTAGTACACTAGTACATACTGGATGATACTACTATCTTTTACCTTGTCTAGTACAGTTTTGCTACTATTTTACAAAGCCCAATACAGTATTATTACACTGAATAACATACTAAGACATAAACTTTCATTCTACTTGCACTAATTACTACTATACCGAACCTAGTAATCCACTGAACACATACTGCTGTTACCATGCTGAACTTATTACTACTGCTACAGCTACACCTAGCCTACTCCTGTTACAGCCACATTACACCTACTGCTACCCTTACATTTTGCCTTGTTCTTCTACTAACACGACTATACTGGTGGTGGATTTAAGGCAGTACCATGGGAGTGTGGAGAAAGTCATACTACACTTAGAACAATTTCAAAATCTCCCATTATTCAATAGTGTTCAATCTCCTGCATTTATGGTACAGTGGCAGACTTATTTTGTGAGATTGGTAACTGTGATATGCTTATCTAGCATCATCAGTCTGGTCAATATTGCAAGGTTCCTTATGGCCCATCATGTATACTGTATATGGTTGTTCACCATTTCTTTACAGTACTGTTATCCCTCAAGCAGAATGACAAGGGATAAAATAAAGAACAGAATTTTCTAAATTCTCCATAACATACATTATACTTTATTTACATAGTCAGAAGACTACTTATGTAACAAAACAATATCATGAAATACTTCTTATTATTTAATCAAGATACCTTTTTTAGCTTCACACAAACCTTCTCCTGCAGTGATACAGGCTGGCCAGTCTCCCAATTCTTAGCATTACGCAGCAACTGGGTTACCCTTCACCTTTAGCAAAATCATTACACCAAAGGGATGTTCCGCAATTGAAAAGTAAACACAATAGTGGATTTATTTATTGGAGTGCACAAGAAGGAATCTATATTTTGGTTGGGTTTGACCAAAGTAACACTGTTTATAACAAAAGTTATGACAGTGATGGTCATTCTTCAGTCAATGAAGTATGTCACACGCTAAAGGCAACAGTAAACGCTCCAGCCGTCAGTTATTTTATAAAAGTGTTGTAAGTATGGAAATGGACAATCTTTTTCCTGCTGCAAAAAACTACAGGTACTGTATTATAATTTTCCATGTAATGTACTGTAACTAAACTAATCATTTTCCCATGTGCAGTAACTACATACTGAAATTATAATTTTTCTCACTTGACAATGCATGAAATTGATCATCAATGAGGTGTATTCACTTGATTTTTATACTCTTAATTGTGTGGGACCTGATGCTTGCCACCTCACCTCCGTACCGCTGTATCTCTTTCCGCACCTCACGCACCTGTAGGGGAGATAAACCAAGATCACTCAATCTATCCACTTGTTTTATAAAAGATCCTAAATGTAGACTAGCTAAGCATTCTCCCATTCGTGCCTATTACTGACTGAGCCTTATACAGAGCCACTAATTGTTCACATTTTTACTCCCATTCATTTCAAAATCCCGACTTCCAGATGCATTTTTTGGCCAGACCTGTTAAATTAAATGTTAGCTGCACACACAACTGAGTAACCTTAAAAATATTAAATCCCCTTAACTGATACCTATTTGAACACCACAGCCATTATACCAGCTAAATTATGACACTTATCTCTGACTTCCATTTCAGACAGTCAGCACTTCTAGTAAAAATAAAAGTACAAGTTCATAAATATTGCTCACCTGTCCTGTTCTTTTCTTGAGTTTATTCTTATACTTATTCCTGTATTTGACTCTTGGGTTCCTCTGTTCCTTCTTACGTGATGGCAGCAGCCCCTTGTTCTTAGCGATCTGGTAGGTAATGGCACGTCTTCCGTCCGGGTCCAGCGTATCCTTCTCCTCTACTGCAGGTGACTCTACAGGTAGAAATAAAGCCATTAAGGTGATTTACCACTTGAAAAGAAAGGCACAGAGATGGTAAAATTATGTATGGATACTTGCGTGTATGTATAGTATGTATGTTGTACTGTATGCATGTATGTACAGTATGTATATGTGCCTGTATGTACAGACACTCCCTGGGTTAAAGAAGACTCGAATTATGGATCTCCGAGTTTACGGAGACTCTCCCATAAATCCTGTTTAAAATGAGCGCCAAGTAATTTCCTGGCCAAGTGGGGATATTTTCAACCCTACCCCACCTGTGAGCTGTACATTATGCTATGTGTTTTTTTTAACTCTTAATTTGGGGAATATTCTGTTTAGTGTATGTACTTAATTTAAGTTTTCTATTTAGTTATGTACACACTCAATCTTACATTCAAAAAGTGGAAAAATAAATAATAGTAACATTAAAGGAAATACTGGTATGGTAATTGTCATAAGGTATAAAATATTCTCAACTTGTAACTTTGGGTAGATATAATGAACGTTTTTTTTTTACACACAATCCAACACACAGTAAGTGCAATCCTCGACACCAGCTCCTACTACCACCTGAGATCCCTAGCCCGAGAACTGCTGTTCGACACCACAACCGCATCCAGCCCATACGTGCACGAACTGATCGCTATAAAACCAGTCCAGTCCCAACCATTGTAAAAATTATCAATAACTTGTAATAAACCAGTGTATTCACTCCCAGTAAATACTACTTCTTGCACTGTCACTATGTTGAAATGCCCTGTAGTTTGAGCTTTTCCCCATCTAGTTATTATATATCTTATTTATATCACTTATGTTATTTGTATATTATTTGTAATTCGAAACCCATTCCCCATTTATGTAACTGTATATTTTCAGCCTTCTGGCTGCCAAGCTCTTTCAATAAACCGTTAATTATTATTATTATTATAATAAAAACTGTCCATGGCAGAGCATCATCACTAGGGATGCTATTAAGGAGAGCACCAGGGGCGACTGTGGCACAGTTTGAACACTAACTTGTATCATTTTGCTCTCTTTATGCTTTCATTAATGCTATTTATACGTATACTGTACTTTAGTTATTGATGTTTATATGCCTACAAAATTTTAAGTTTTAATGTTACAGTGTACAGTTAAAGATACTTTTGGGGGTGAATCTAGTGATCTCAATAGAGTCTTCACCGCCAGTTACAGAGGGTTTACTGTACATTTTAGGCCCAATGCTCCAAATTCTGGAAAAACAAAAAACAACTCCGGAACCTCCAGGTCCCAAGCCTACGAAATAAATTGTCTCATACCTGTATAGTAATTGTATACAGCTGTATATATTAAGTGTACTTAGTGTATTCAATGATTACCTTATGGAAGAGCCACTTCAAGCTTACAGGTAGACTCTAGGAGCGGAACCCATCCATAACCCGGGGAATGTCTGTACGGTATTTATGTTGTTTATTATGTATACGAGAATACAGTTCTATCTAAGACAGCAAGATACACCCATAACCCTTTCACTGGTAATCTGTGGAAGACACAATATCTTACTGAAATTACTGTACAGTACGCCCAATAATTCGCGGATTTTTATTTTGCGGATGACACCCTGGATGTACCCAAGAATGTCTGTGGGTAGTTTTAAAGTTGCCGGCATTTTTGCGGCCGGGACAGGGAGCCATTCGTTCTAGAGACAGTAATTTCCTTTTTCTGTATTGTATATATGTGTGTGTGTGTGTTAACACTACACACAAATAAATAATAATGGGAAAATCCTTTCACAAATAATCAGAAAAAATGCTGAGTCTACTCTCAAGCTACTCCGTGCTTTATTAATAAGAAAGCACTGAGTGGATTTGAGGGTAGACTCAACATTTTTAATATACATTAGTTTCTGATTATTTGTGGTAAGCAAATGTTATTTGCAGATTTGGCGATTTGTGGCCATTTTGAGATCCTAACCCCTGTGAATCTGAATGGCATGCTGTACTGTATTTGCCTCCACGGGAGGTATCATTGACTTACTTTATAACATTATCAGCTACACAAAATAAGTTACTACTGCTGACGTGGTAATTCAGCATCTGATGAATGTCTCTTGGTTAGCTAGACCAAGTTGGAAATAACATAACAGACTATAAAAAGTGATTGTTTACCATTAACTCCTTGCTCTTCATCACTGCTTGCTTCTGCCACCTGAGTTTGTTCCTTCTTCTTCAACTGAGGAACAACATCGTCTTTATCTGACAATTGGGAGTCGTTCAGTAAGTCGGAGAGCTTTCTTTTCTTCTCTAATTTCATCTTGCTCTTATTGCTCAGTAACTGTAACGTTTTCTGCTTCCTGAAAAATAGTAAAAGTTAATGTTAAATGTATGGTAGAGGAAGGAAGTCACAGTAGCCTTAACCACGCCATCATGAATAAAGCTTTTTTTTACACACAAATCATCATCATTGTATTTATTTTACAAACATCAGAATAGCCTAAACTTAGCTTTACAATTACAGTACGACACAGACATTAAAGACCCTGACCTTGGTTTCCCCTTTACTTTAGCTGGTGAGGCATTTAATTTAGCCGTTCTGTCAGCGATGATAGATGGAATCAACTCTTTCAACTGGTTTCTCAGCTGGTCATCACAGGGGCCAAGTTCCTAGAGGTGAGAGTAAATGGTGTTAATTTATGCCAATGACAAATAATGGAGTGGCCAATATTTCCCCATAAAGTTTAACCCTTTACCAACAGCTACGGATTTCTTACATGGAGCACAATGAACATGGTATGTCCACTGATGATGGCCGCTGTTTAAATGGTTAATAGGCAATTTTGGTCAACATACATTAAATTAAGGTTCATTACCTCAAGTCACCTGACCTAAACTGGTAAGCTTATGTATAAAGCTATATGATGGAAAGAAACAGCATTATGTTGCTGCACAAATGTAATACAATCCATAATAACGTCTGTACTTCAAATTTTGCCAATAATGATGAGACTTCAGCCAGAAGCCATGATTAATCTGGCTCTGGTGGAGAGTTAAAAATCAATGAAAAACATTTGTTTGAAGCATAAACAAATGGAGCTTTCATTCCTCTCCTCAGCTGGCTGGACTGGGAGCTTTAATCAGCACTGCACCCACTAAGTCACCACACTCCTTCACCAAGAGGAAAATTCCTCAACAATTTGTTAAGAATCTGCCCAATGAAACTAAACATATAAACAGTAGACAATTAACAGAGGTAACAGACACATTATGGCACCAAATGACCACAGACTTCTGGACTTGTAACATAAATTGAAATAAATCCCAAACTATTCAACTCAAGCAAAAGTGAACCACGACAAACCCACGTTACCAAACATTACATTATTCTTGAAGCATTTACCTGCAGCAGTTGGCGGTACTGGGCTAGTCGACTCAACACTGGATGATTGCCCATAGGCTCTTGGCTGCACTTAGTAACCATGTATACGCTCAGTACACACACATAGCTGAAAACCAGAAAACATAATAAAAAATGTCAAATTGTACTAAAATACAAAATATAATAAATAATGTAAAATCATCTGAAAAGGAGTAAGGCAGTACAGTATAGCATAAGATTCTCTAAACTACACTCCACAGAGATGTCAACTCTATGTGGGTGTTGCCGTCTTCCCATAAACAAAATATTTCAGTACATTACAATGCAAGAACATAGTTGTAGGGGAATATAGCGGCAAAAATCTATTTGCGAAGGAAAAAGGCGGGATAATTTAGTTGCTTGGTGGAATAATGTACTGTAGAGGTGTATGAATTGTGTAACAGATGAATAGAATGAATACCATTAATTAATCTGAAAAGGTGGTGTTTGTTTTAATATTAATGTTATAGAGTATACAGTACGTGTTGCCTAAATAAGTAGTCATACCCTGTACAAGAATCATATAATCAACAGAACAATCCTTATCTCCTATAAAAGACTCAACCAAAATCATTCAAATAATTCTGGCTTTAAAATTTATACATACAAATCTTTCCTTGTGATGAAGCAGAGTGGCCAACCAGTTTCTGATCTGGTTCTTAGCATGCAGCTGCTTGTGTGTTGTCCAGTCCCTTGACAGAATGTTAGTCCATCCAAGGGTTGTTTCATCATTATTCAGCAGATAATGGTGTACCCTACCCTACCTGACCACCAAAACAAATGCACCCAACACACTGTCATGTAACCTCCATTAGTTCAAATCTTCCTGTTATAAATGTCTACAGTCTTTGACAAGGAGATGTCTGTGCATAGATTAGACATTAATACTGTCTGATCTCTCCCAACACTTTAGAAAAATCCTCCACTCCATTTTGGAATTGAAACAGTAACCACTAATTGGGTTACGAAGGTACTGGTCTTAGCAGTACCAGGACATTACAATATGACACTCTAATTTCAATAACTTACTTGAGGAGAAGTCTGTATCTAGTTGTGATGTACTGACAGACGGAAAGAGAGGAAATCTTCCCTGTCTCCACACCTTCCACCAGTGGAACCAAAAAAGAGTTCAGTTCCTCACATTTTTCTGAAAATTGAGACTTACAAATAAATACTGTACTGTTACTGCACAAGTATTTAATATCTAAGCTACTGAATATATGAGTAAATTTAAAAACCTAAAAACTACTTGAAATTTACAGGTAATAACATAACTTCTGGGCTCTACAGTGAGACAGCCTAACATTTTTAATAGTATGGTATTTTTACTCCCTTGAAAACTGCTAGAGCATCATATGAAGCATTGTTAGATGACATAAACACTCTAAATGAAGTCAAAGATATTACCTACTACTGTATTTTCCTGATAAAAATTGTAAGAGCTTTATAATTATTAATGGGTTCAAATTTCTCCAAGTAAAATATATCCCTACCTTTTAGATCATCAAGGAGGGGAATTAATTCTGGTGATTCCCTCCGAAGCAACTGTAGCTTTTTAGCTCGAGACAATCTTGACAGGTCCACCTCCACCATAGACTTTGAGGCTTCGTCTTCAGGCACTCCACTAACTTCCTCCTGAAGATGTAGATGAACTAAGTTTCCATAGAAGTCTCTCTCTTTCTACACAGTTTCATGATATATTACTTAAATTTCCTTCCTCATCCTGACTCATCTAAAAAATATAATCTACAAGAACCATTTGACTTTTTCAATAAACAGAAAGTATAAAATAGACTTAACAATGAGGGAGTAGCATACAGAGAGGTGAGGATATATAAGATCAACCATTGTGGTAAGGGGGAAGAAGGAACACGAGCACACACGTCATCGGTGACCCACACATTAATACTGTACTAAACAGCAATAAACTAAATGTGTTCCACGATGTATACAACATACATTCTTGGATCAGCAGATAAAGAATATATTTTTTCACGAGTAATAGTAAACACAGGAACGTCTCGATAAAAACCAAAAGCCACGGTGGATCTATGATTTATGTAGAGGTGCGATGGGACGGGGCAAGGTGGGCTTATAGGGTGGGAGTGGATCTGAAGGAAAAATAAATAAAAAATTAAAAAATTCTCCCTTGCACCCTGAGCAGTCAATGGAAGACCCTTCAACCCCCACTAGTGGCTATAAGGCTCCCCTAATTCCTGTTATTAAGAGCCCTACACATACACCACACTCCATACCTGGGGGATAAGGTCATCAGGCACGAGGTCTTGAAGCTCTGCCGCCATACGTTCCTGGAGTTTCCTTGCCGTCTCTTCCTCCAGTTTGGCCAGTTCTTCATCTTCAGTGTGTAGTTTCTCTGATCGAAAGAAGACTTCATTACCAAACTTTTCATTCTTTAAATATACCAAGTTGACCAACACGGTGCAGTTCAGTATATCCATAACTTTATATAAATGCACAGTTCCAAACCATTACTTTCTGCATAATTATAAGATTATGTCCTGTTTCTGCTAACTATGTTATTTTCATCATTTAGTTTTTGTAAATAATGTATAAATAAATTATTACAAATTAATGACTGTGAAGTGATTATTTTTGTTTTAAGGAGCATCCCATGGCTTTGTTGGCTGTCCTTGGTCAAAATGATGGACTGTTTACCACTATTTGTATGCCCACAATGTCAAGGTATATGGAATTGACTACCTGCACAGTCTATGTACACTATACCTGTACAGTCTATGTACACTATACCAGTACAGTCGAAGAGCTATGCAGTACAAGCTGAATCAAAATTGTAAACTTGTATGACAATTTTACTTAATAAATAACGATCTATCTATCTTATCCTATGTGGAAAAACAGTACACAATGAAAGTAAAACGACCACTAATGATGGCAGCTGTCCTTCCACCTTACTTCAACTGCTGATGGCTGCCATTTAAGGGTTAAGTAACAGTGCTTCTTTAAATGCTCTTACTGTCATAATTAGATATACGTACATACATAAAACACTCAAAATAAACCTGAGGGTAGGAGCTAAGACACTCCTTTTATGGCTTAGGTTGTCTATGTGGGTTTTTGAAAGCTTAACTCCTGACCACGACTCATACCTGACCATTAACAGAACAACCAGTAATGGATAGTTTAAGAGGCTTCTGTGGTGAATGGATGAAGAGCACTGGAGCAAATGTGTTAATCATATGAATAACGTACAGGTATTCGCCCATTAAATACCTTTACCCTAAGCCACTGATGGGCTCTGTCATGGTGTGTTCAGTGTGCAAGTACAGTACCTCACACGTCACTCATTGAAGAACAGTAGACCATACAAGTTAATTTCTATCCCTGTATGTGACAAAAAAGAAAAGACTTACTCTTGATCTTTTCATCGGTGGTGTCTGTACCAAAGTACCGTCGTCTGTGTGAGCCCCACGCGCGTTCATCGGGAAGTTTAAATTCAGGTTCATCAACAATGTCATCCTCCATATACAGGTTGTCTTCATCACTTTCTTCTTCATCATCATCACCACCACCGTCATCATTATCAGAAGAATCACTATCGATACCCAACACTTGTTCCTGTAGGAGAGTGTACACGTCAGAAATATGAGAACTTAATAAATGTACATATAATTTAGACATAATATCTTTTGACATGGGTTGCAATTGAGGACTGAAGCATGGCATCCCATTATATAGCTCAGAGAACTTACTGGAACTTGGTTTGGTGGATCAGCTAATTTCTGTTTTAAGAATACTGTACAATCACTCCTAAAACTAAGGTAGGTAAGGTCTATCACTCAGTAACCTGTTGTGTACTGTATATACCTTTTCTTATTCTTCACTGAGGTTTATGTCTCTCTTCCATCCACTGTACTCTGGAATGAATAAGTTTACAAGAAATACAACAGGGCTACTTACCTTGGGCTCTTTCTTTTTTGACATCAGTTTTCTTGCCTTGCTGAGGGCTAAGTTATCCTGGTCATCCTCAAAATCATCCACTTCATCATACACAAAGCTTCTGCTCTCCGGGTCGAGCAGCGTTCTGCGTGTGTCATCCTCATTTTTCTTACTGTTAGACTGCCACTGCTGTTTTCTGTCTCCAGTTCTGTAATGAATTATGTACTTTACTGATTTGTTTTGGGCCATAAAGGTAAAAAAAAGATTATTGGTAACAAATTAAAAATCCTTTAAGTGAAATCTTTGTAATCATTAAGTCCATTCAAGGGACTGAGGCCAGGTGAACAGTTGTGGTCAGAATACACAAAGGTTCTTGATAAAACAAAAGTTCAAAGATAGTTTTTGTCAATATCATAAATGACTAAAGGTAAAGGTTATGGTTTACTACTTGACATTACTTAATCACATCTACAGATCAGTTAGTTATGAGTACTGTACTGTACATTGAGGGGTGAACGTGCAGAAAAGAAAGCCAATCATTACTTCCTTACATTTCAACAGGAAAATTTCAAGGATGATTGACTTTACCTTTTTATCCATAATCAGATGACCAATTGATGATATATGAATACACAATTTTCTAAGTATGACCAACTTTGACCAACAGTGTTAACTGAATGGCTATACCTATTAGAGCCTGGCCGGACAGTCTGGGGGTGGCTTCGTGCACTTTTTGTTCGTGTCACAGCGTAGAAAAAAATCCTTTATCGATGGAGAAATTTCTTAAAGTTTATTGCTAAGGATGATCCCACGTCCTCAATTATTACTGAAGTACGAACCTTAACGATACCTTACATTTATTTTCCCAAATACTGATAATCCAGAGTGTGTTCCTCGACACCAACACTCCAACATGCTCCAGTAACAAGTCTTGTTTACCTATTAATCATGCTCCACTACGACCCATATACTTATGAAAAAACCTCTAATGAAAACTGGAATCATTGAAGACTTACTTCCTTCTTTTACCCATATCTTCTCTATGATATTATTGAAAGTATCAGACGCCAGCAGCCACCACACGTGAGCAGCAACACAGCTGGTCAGGTAAACAAAGGCGCCACACATTAAACTTTGCCCCAACTTTTTCATACTTCCCTAACATGTCTAAATTTCTCGCCAATTTCATTTATAATCAAAACATCACCGTATTATATTCTCACCCAATGTTTTACAGTGTAATATTATGTTTAAAATGAAAATAAATAATCTAAGATAATTCATATCACAGAAGTGGATGTTGGTAAACTGTTAAAGAGTTTACAGTGAGTTGTAAAATCTTTTTAGTTTTAATTTATAGTTTTTACCACTTATCAGCTTACTAACTGTTGGGAAAAATAGTCTGTTCTTTATCAGTTTCACCCCTTTTCAGCCTACTAGTTGTTTAGGCAGTCAGTCTGTGCTTTGTTATGCACATCTGTTCTCTGTAACGACCATAAATACCCACAGACATTGTATCCATTGCCTATCATGGATCATCAACGCTTTATGTGTGATAATTTCATAGAAGCAAACTTTTCCTTGAGTGCGTCATCGTCAGGTCGTCCATTGGTGTTTGAGTTTAAAAAATTATATTCGGATATGACATACAGCTCACGAAACCTTCATTTTTTTTTTCTTATAAGAACTCAAATTGAATATAGCGTAAAAGAAAAAATATTCTTGAAGATAGAAAGGATTTTATTCACTAATAATATTAACTGTATATTTGTAATCAGTGAGTCAGCCTATTAAATGACAATACGATCTTGGATGTACTGTCAACAAGACAAGGAAAATGAATACCAACCAGAATAGAATTGTCCTTCTTTATTTCTTTCTTATGTAAACATCCAAGGACTTTCGGTTAATGTTACGTTAGCTAAGGGTTACTGTGGAGGTTAATGTTACGTTAGCTAAGGGTTAATGTGGAGGTTAATGTTACGTTAGCTAAGGGTAAATGTGGAGGTTAATGTTACGTTAGCTAAGAGTCAATGTGGAGGTTAATGTTACGTTAGCTAAGAGTCAATGTGGAGGTTAATGTTACGTTAGCTAAGAGTTAATGTGAGGTTAATGTTACGTTAGCTAAGGGTTAATGTGGAGGTTAATGTTACGTTAGCTAAGGGTAAATGTGGAGGTTAATGTTACGTTAGCTAAGGGTAAATGTGGAGGTTAATGTTACGTTAGCTAGAGTTAATGTTGCGTTAGCTAGAATGGAGGTTAATGTTACGTTAGCTAAGAGTTAATGGAAGTTAATGTTACGTTAGCTAGAGTTATGTGGAGGTTAATGTTACGTTAGCTAAAATGTGGAGGTTAATGTTACGTTAGCTAAGAGTTAATGTGGAGGTTAATGTTACGTTAGCTAAGAGTTAATGTGGAGGTTAATGTTACGTTAGCTAAGGGTTAATGTGGAGGTTAATGTTACGTTAGCTAAGGGTTAATGTGGAGGTTAATGTTACGTTAGCTAAGAGTTAATGTGTAGGTTAATGTTACGTTAGCTAAGAGTTAATGTGGAGGTTAATGTTACGTTGGCTAAGAGTTAATGTGGAGGTTAATGTTACGTTAGCTAAGAGTTAATGTGGAGGTTAATGTTACGTTAGCTAAGAGTTAATGTGGAGGTTAATGTTACGTTAGCTAAGAGTTAATGTGGAGGTTAATGTTACGTTAGCTAAGAGTTAATGTGGAGGTTAATGTTACGTTAGCTAAGAGTTAATGTGGAGGTTAATGTTACGTTAGCTAAGAGTTAAACGTTAGTGGAGGTTAATGTTACGTTAGCTAAGAGTTAATGTGGAGGTTAATGTTACGTTAGCTAAGAGTAATGTGGAGGTTAATGTTACGTTAGCTAAGAGTTAAATGTGGAGGTTAATGTTACGTTAGCTAAGAGTTAATGTGGAGGTTAATGTTACGTTAGCTAAGAGTTAATGTGGAGGTTAATGTTACGTTAGCTAAGAGTTAATGTGGAGGTTAATGTTACGTTAGCTAAGAGTTAATGTGGAGGTTAATGTTATGTTAGCTAAGAGTTAATGTGGAGGTTAATGTTACGTTAGCTAAGAGTTAATGTGGAGGTTAATGTTACGTTAGCTAAGAGTTAATGTGTATGTTAACTAATAGACTGAAGAAGTATTGGTAACTACAGAGAAGAGGCCTAGAGAGGACAGCTAAGAGGAGTGGCAAACAAAACAGTTCCAAGTACCATATGTACACAAGTGACTGAGTTCATATCTAAGAGTAAATTAGGTGCGGTAAAACATACATGAGAATAAATTTAAATCTATATAACTTAATGATGTACATAGGTGAGGTTGGTAATGTAATAGACTTGATAAAGACAGGTAAAAAATAAATAGAAAAAACAGATGAACGTCACCCGTGCGTCCATATTGTTGTCGCGGACATACAGGTGAGAATTAACATGAGGTGACGCAGTACCTAGGTGAGTCATCTCCCGCAGGTTGTCTTGCGGCACGTACTTGTGAATTGAGGATATGAATCACATAGATTTCACGTGAAGAGAATTTGTGATTCAAGCGGATGTAATGGGTTCCTGAGGCACCACTGTTTACCTAACACCCGTCTGACGTTTCTGGATGCTAACTCCTAAAGTCAAACTGCGCCTATCCTACCACACCCAGCCCCTTCCTCCTGACCAATATCCCTCCTCCTCCAGTCAGGCCTGGCATCTGACTTATGAGGGACTTGCCATAAACAGATGTATTGTATCGGTCGGGAACTCTCCCCCACAATCATCTTGTCAGTATATGTAACTTGCCGCTGATATCCATAGCCCTTGAGGCACATACTCCCTTCAATGGACGAGTCGACTAGTATAATAACTCAGGTGCTGACGTGTGAAGGAAGTCTTGGTGTTGTTGACATGCATAAGCATTAATGGGTGAGGGTTCTGTGTACTGAGTCAGGCTGCGTCATTCAGGATATCACCCGCCGCTGGTCATCTACACACACACAGGAAACAATACCCAGCTTGGTGACCATCCTAGAACATTAACTAGAACTTTGTTTCATAATTGTGAAAAATATACGATCACGTGAAGATTAACCACCCCAACTTATTTGAGTTAGGTTAGGATGGTTAAAGTGAGGTTAGGTTAGGGTCAGGTTACGTTAGGTTCAGGTTAGGTTAGGTTAAGTAAGGTTAGATTAGGTTAGGTCAGGTCAAGTCAGGTTAGGTTAGGTGAAGGTAGGCTAGATTAGGTTGGTTCAGGTTAGATTATATTAGGTTAGGTTAAGGTGGTTAATCTTAAGGTGAAATAAGCGGCCGGGGAATGACGTATGGTGACGTAAGAAAATATCTATATTCTTCACTTAACCTAACCTAACATAACCTGACCTGACCTGACCTGACCTGACCTAACCTAACTTAACCTAACCTAACCCTGAAAGCAAATGAACAAAGACCGTGACGACAGCCTAATGAGATGATGGTTTAATTAACAGCATTGGTTTAACCTTTAGAATGATGGTTTAAGTCAATGACGTTATAATTGGACTGGGACAATGTAGTAAATTTATGTATATTTGTATTCTAAGTTAAATGGTTAGGTCTGGTGTGTGTGTGTGTGTGTGTATCATGTCTGTATGTTGGAGTGTGACTGTATTTGTGTTTATTTATGTGTGTGTATGTAGGTATGAATGTGCATATCATGTTTGTATGTATGTATGTGTGTTTCTATGACATATACGTCCAAGCTAGCACGTGACGCTAAATTCTGGGAAAACAACTTACATGTGGTTAAAAAGATATCCTGTTTATTAGTTATCGTTTGTATTCCACCACTATCTATCTATCTATCTATCTATCTATCTATCTATCTATCTATCTATCTATCTATCTATCCATCTATCTATCTATCTATCCATCTATCTATCTATCCAAGCTTTCATGACTTTCTCCGCTACGTCATAGATTCTGAGCTTACCATTTGCTGGACGGATCTGACGTCACTCGTATAACATTTTAACATCACTCCTATTATACTATTTAATTACCTATTTACAGTTACCTATTAGCTATTTCATATCATAATAGCTACAAAAATACATATCCTGCTATTTATGACCCATTCATGTATTTAATTAAGGTAAAACAGACCATTTCAATAGCCCAATAATTCTTGCTTCTGGTGACATCTGGAATCTTGCCTAGCATAATAAATACCCGAGAAACTTAAATTTTTTCCCATAATCTTGTTGTGCTTGTTGGTGGTCGGGTGTACAAGATGAAGCTCCTGGTGTACTACTCTCTGGCGTTAATGGTCGTGGTCAATGCTGCTCCTAGTAAGTATTTCTTGAGAATTTACTTTGATATAAAACAAATTAGTAAGTACTTTTTGAGAATTAACTTAGATATAAACCAAGATCCATTCGTGGTTTAGTTTTTATTAGTGGTTTATAATGTTTGGGTTTATCTCTCTTGAGTGACTATAGACATAAAATTGTATAGTATTGGTTAACGAATTTCCAAGTTTAAATTCGATTACAGTTACATAATTTTGTACTTTGTTACTGGATTATGTACTTATAACATGATTGAGTATTTCCGGCTTTTGTACTAAGAATTTGTTATATATTTACGCGCGCACACACACACACAAGTTAGGTGGTGGAAGTAATCTTGGTAACCGGTGTCATGGTTTCCGTTCTGATATAAACCTCACATATCCCGACCTACGAGCGTGATAGAAGGGCGAGATTGAACCAGCTTAATACATCGAGCTATAGTGATGATATTAAGAGCCTTTTCGGAATTCGGCGCGATTACTTGAAACATCTGCGCAAATAATGGGTAACTCAGCCTAACTCTGGTTTATAATGGGGGTGTAAAGGTATGTTACTTTGCGTTGTTTTAGAATGCTCGGTTTAATTAAGTTATTTATCCTGTGGTTAATCAACGTAATTTATTCTAACTTAATCTGATCTAATGTAATGTAATCTTGCCCTCACTTAATCCACATTTAACTTAACTAACATCTAATTTAACATAAACGGTTAACCCAAGTGCGTAAATCGAGGTTAAAAAGTATTTCGAAAACGCACGCAAATATTACCTAACCTAACCTAACCTAATCTAACCTAACCTAACCTAATCTAACGTAACCTAACCTAAATCTAACGTAACCTATTATTTCTGTCTGTGGCGTCGTATGTTTGTATGTCTTTTTATCTTCAGGTTATACAGATATGTTGATATATTCTTATACATGTCTATAGAAATACGCATATGTATACGTTTTCGTCTATACATGACAAGTACGTTAATACATACACGTACACACACACACACACACACACACACACACAGAAACACAAACATATTCACCAAAAAACACACACACAACCCCCCCCCCAAAAAAAACACTCACAAAAACATATCCACAGATACATACACACATACACACTTTGCCATACACACACACAGCTTGCCACATACACTCATACATACACTTCACCTAAAAAAACGTTTCCCTTCACACTGTATCCTATCACCATACATCCATATCCTACACTACCACGAAGGATATCATAAGGATTATAAATTAACACCTTATTAACACCTTCAGGCCAGCCCATGACGGTGAAAGTAGTTGATCGTGAGGAGAATGTTTCATCAGCCAAGACACCACGACACACTTGGTTTATCAACACCCACAGGAGCGACACACTGCCCGGGACTGGTGGTGACCAAGATGAAACTGGCGTGGAGGTAGACAGGTGAGGATTTTGTTTACATTGGAGATGGTGATGATGATACGTGTTATATAGTCGAGATTTACGTGTTATATAGCCAAGATCTTGTTTATATTATAGCTGTGTTGGTTAGTTCAGTGTTACGTGTTAAAGTGTGTTGTAATGTGACCGCAACTCAAATAGAACTTGTGGTTTGAGTTAAAGAGGGAATTGTAGATAAAATATAATGGATTTTGGTACATCAATTCTTCTACCAATTACCACATATTAAACCTGGCTCAAAGGGCATTACTGTCACATGAAAAACCGTACTGTACAGTCCCCTTCACTAGTGCGTTTACAGGGCTCGTCAGGGTTTGTGCAGTGTGGCATCGCTGTGTTTGTTTACATTCGACGGAAGGAAACCATCAATAGTAAACATAACATAAAATTAAATTAAAGCAATATTAAAACAATATATCAAATATTATGATTTGTGAAATGTTTATATAACAAGCCCCTGTAAACGCACTAGTGAAGGGGACTGTATCTATCTAGAGTGACCGGATGTTCGTCCTGCTATAGATCACAGTGTCATGTTAGAGAAACTATTAATACAGAAGACTATCAGAGCTAACATAGAGAAAAGGTTGTGAAGTCTTGGAATATAGAAACCTAACCTAACCTAACCTAACCAAAACCTAACCTAACCTAACCTAACCTAACCTAACCTAACCAAAACCTAACCTAACCTAACCTAACCTAACCTAACCTAACCAAAACCTAACCTAACCAAAACCTAACCTAACCTAACGTTCTTATAACCTAACAGAGACGACAACACTAGCTTGGCCTCCATCGATAGTGCTGAGGATAAGGTCACTAGTGATGAGTCCAGTGTTTTGAGTGAGTATGTGTGATGATTCTTGAACTAGGTAGTTAAGTGTATCAGTTCCATAACATTTAATCACAAGACATATGCTCACAAGACATATGCTCACAAGACATATGCTCACAAGACATGCTCACAAGACATGCTCACAAGACATGCTCACAAGACATATGCTCACAAGACATGCTCACAAGACATGCTCACAAGACATATACTCACAAGACAAACCTAACCTAACATTTGTCTTCCTTTTCATTAACATTGTAAGTATTTGCCTTGTGAGCGTTGGTTTTGTGAGCAAATGTCGGCAGCTAAGTGAATCCTTATACTGTTCAGTGACGAGTCTGTCTAAAATATCACGTAAAATATAACGTTGATGATATATTTTTAACATTTATATTGTTAACCTTTTGATAGTGTTAACTTACTGATATTGTTAATTTGAAGGTATTGTTAACTTGTGGAGGTTAATATCATCAACTCGTTGCTATTATTAACTTGATACTTGTTAAACAGTTGAACTTATTAAAATAGTCGATTTTTATGGAATAGATAACAGTTAACGTGTTGATATCGTTAACTTGTTTGGTAATTAACGTGTTGATGTTAATAAGGTGTTTATAAGTGCTTCCATCTCCTTACAGCTGACCTCTGCCAAATGGAAAAGGACTTATACCTGATCCACTTACTTCTGGGTCATAGTTCGAACCCCAATACCAACCGATGCGCCAGTTTCGGTACCCGGGTTCACTTCGATATGTCTGATAACGAACCCAAAGACGACTACTTCGACTACCACGACTACAACTACGACAACAATGGTGGTTCTGGTAGTGGTATGTTCGGATTCCCTGGCTTTGACTTCGATTCATCAAAGTTCCCCGGTTACTCGACGTTTGATATCGAACGCAAAGACGACTCCTTCGACTACTACGACTACGACAACAATGGTGGTTCTGGTAGTGGTATGTTCGGATTCCCTGGCTTTGATTTCGATTCATCAAAGCTCCCCGGTTACCCGAGCTGGCTACCGGTAAGTAGGAGAGAGAGAGAGAGAGGGAGGGGAAATGAGACGAAAGAGTAAGATAAGAGGGGGGAGGGAAGATTACAAAGGGAAGACAGAGAAAATAAGTAAGCGAGGGCGAAAGATAAATGAAAAGAAGACGACTTACATCCATAAAAAAATATATATATATCCTCACCAAGTGTATATAGCAAACATTTTTTCCCACCCACAATGTAAACAAAACAACTCATACATGTAATTGTCGTACTTGTCGTGTGTATTAACCCATGATGTCGTCCCCCAGGAGTCGCCGAGTATCCCCAAGGTAGACGACCTCCCCGACAATTACGACAACTCTACACACGATGTCCATCTAGTGAACGGGACCAGAGTCGAAGTAAACACGACCACAAACAAGAAAAGTGGAGATGGCTTCACCTCCTTCTATCACCACCAGGTAAAATTTCAGTGGTGGTGGTGATAAGTTCACATTTATCACCCCGGTGTTAATTTTTCACCCAACATTCACAACCTCAGCATTGATGGAGATAAACCCACATTCATCTCTTCAGTGTTTATCATTCAACATTCACAGCTTCACCAATGATAGACTTACACCCACACATTTTTCTTTTTATGTTGATCTGACACAATAAACAAGACTTCATCAATGATTCAATACACATTCTCTTCTACAATATTAAATGATCAGTTATAGTTAACATTAAGTAAACATTTAACATACATTAAACATCTCTGGTAATGTCTAATTCCTGTGTTTTCATGTCGACAGTTTATCAACATCCGACCTGACCAAGTACCTGATGACGAAGATAAGGAGACACCGCAGGTAGGTCACTGGTGTGTGTGTGTGTGTGTGTGTACAGATCCTCGTCAGCACCTTAGTAACATCTATGAAAAAAAAATTCTGCTCTGATTTTGTCTAGAACTATTTACTGTTTCTGCTTCTTTTTCTGTTTATGTAATCTGTGTCTGTTGTCTGTGTCTGTTGTCTGTGTCTATCTCACGTCAGACATGTTTGTTTTGATAACTTGTGTCCAGTCTAATAATGACGTCTGTTAACAGGTGAAGGAAGACACTGATGAGGAAGAAACCGTTGGTGAGGAGGAAGGCGTTGGTGAAGAGGAAGGCGTTGGTGAGGAGGAAGGCGTTGGTGAGGAGAAAGTACCAGTGTACGACGAGGAACTTCTGGTGATACCTCAAGTTGAGAACGAGGTCAGCTCTTCAGATTTCCCTGCCCACATCCCCAACCTGAACGAGGTCAGCTCTTCAGATTTTCCTACCCTCAACGAGGTGGTGCCAACAGAACACGTGGCCACGGACGAGGTCAGTATCGTCTAGTTGCTGCTTGTCCTACTGCCCTGCTCGTCACACTCCATAAAACACGTTCACAGAATTTTGCTCTCAACAAGTCAGTGCTGATGGGTGTCTTAGCGAACATTACCCAGTACACACCAGGGACTAAACTCTTATCCTTGGAACGCATTTTCAAGTATTTTTATACCTAATTGTACTATAATTCGACATTAATAAGGGAGGTAGAATGATCGCTAATATTTTTACATCCTTTATAGCAATTTCGTTGATATGGTTATATAAAGGTGTGAGGGAATAGTTAAGCCTAAATACTCTTTATCTTTGTTGACTGTGAAGAATTTTTATATACATATTTGCTATTCAATAAAAAAATACAACATATATATTTTATTTACCTATTTAAATGGCAGGAATTATCCATGAACCATAAAAAACATTTCGCTACCAACACCAACATGGAGGAATGAATGTCAGCACAACACGCTGGTAGTTGCTCATGTTATTATTATTTATCCAATTTGTGAAGAATGCTGTTCTCCCTGGCTGGTGTGTCAGGGTTAATACTGTATACTTCACCACTACAGACGACCTAACATTAATTAAATAAATGTGTAAGTAATGTGATTTTCTGAAGCACCCTTTATTACGTCAGCTTAACTAAGTTCTGGGCAAGGAAAGGAACGGTTTGGCAGATAAGATATTTATTCATAAGTGAGTGAATGAGAGCAGATTAAGGCAACGAATTTCAACGCTATACAGTATCTATTTTCTGCTGGTGTCGGAAATATCATGCATAAATTAAGTACTTCGCGAATCAAGGCTTAGAAAAAAAAAAGCATTGCCTAGTATTGGAAACGAGCATCTTGTGGCGTTGTCGGCAATCCTGACCAAACTACTGTACTTAGATATCAATCATTATATTTTACAGTAGAATTGTGTGTGAATTACTCATCATTACCATGTAACACCCATATTGAGGTGACCAAGTGGAAATATCAACGTGACTGACTTAAATTTATTCTCGTTAAACTCTTTTCAGGCATATAACTTTGCTTTGCTTGCATAAACTAATCGACTGGAGTATTGCTGTTTGTGTGTGATTGAGTGATTAAATAACGGTAAAATCACAGTTTTGGTCATGCCTTTATTTAGGTATCCAAACTAACATAACCTAACCATCCTAACCTAACCGCCATAGATTTCCCAAGGACCGAAACTAAAATAATACCTAAATAACTATGATCTTAAGCATGTACAGTTAAATCATACACTAGACAACTATAAACAATTAGTTTTAGAACGGTTAAATACTTCTTTTTAGCCATAAAGCTTTAGGAAGTCTTCGATGATTTAAGCTGACCATTAAGTGGTATGAACAGGGACTCGTTGGAGGAGGCGGAGGTGTGAAGCTCCTACGATCTCGCCGTTCACTCAACACTATCCATTTCCCTCAACCCGCCAAACCCGCTGCCTATGTGGATCAAGACACCGAGGAAGTGGATGTGGATGAGGGCCACCATCCAAAACCAGACCTAAGTTCCGACACCTTGGTTAACCACGTTAACAGAGACCACCAAGGTCTTAGTAAAGTGGATCCCGACGCTGAGATCTTCAATTTGACTTTGGTCTTGAACGAAGGTAAACTCAAAGATAATGATGATGATAAATAAATATTCACCCAGGTATAATATAAGTCTTATAATGAAGCATAATAGTATTTTGGTTCCTAATTGAGTGTGTATAACTTGCCATAGAGTACAATGTAGAAAATAAATGATTTGGTTGGAGACGTTGACAACGGTAGGAAACGCCTGTATACTGTAGGTGTAATCGGAGACTTGTTCATGTACCTGTAAAAACTAAACACTTTTAACACTAAGATAAAAAAAATGACAAGGCACAGATACAACTATAAACATTTACCACTAGGAAATAGCTTTAACCATTTTAACAATAGGGTATAATTATATTTTTAACACAATGGTACAACCAAATTAACACACGGGTACAACTATACACATTTAACACTGAAACAGCTATAAACATTTAACACATACAATAATAAACATTTAACACTTTGAAACTACTACAAACATTTAACACTGAAACTTCTATAAACATTTAACACTAATGCAACTAAACATTTTAACACTACAACACTCACTGTTTGAACTCCGATGCTATACTGTATTTATTGGACACCACTCTCACGCTATTTAATGAATTATAGTTTATTTTGTATGTACGAGTAAAATATGAATGATTAATGCATAGTAAAATGGTTTGTATTGATCAAATTCGACAAGCTCACTTTCAGCACCAGACCTCAACACTCCAAGGCGGGAACTGTGACGTCATAACAGAGGTGTTAGTTCTAAACTGAACTTCACCTAATAATACTTCTGAATATTTTTTTATTTAGCTGTCAAAATGATTACAATAATTTGGTTTAAACTTCAAAGCAATTTAATTTTTATTTATTTTCTTTAAACGAGCACGAATAAGCGATAAACTGGTTAATTGAAGACGCTCATGAAAATGCACGGATTTGAAGAAAAACGGTCATAGACTTGCGTGGTCATCCGATATACACATTTTAAAACTACTCTAAAACTATAATTGTTTTAACACTACGATACAACTTTACAATTTTCAACACTAGAGTACAACTAAGGAATATTACAAGGTGAACGCCCTTAAATTTTCTTAAGGTCCAGTCACTGGCGCCATCTATAGGTCAAACCAGAAATCGTAGAGAAATGTCTAATGCTTGAGAAAATGGCTATTTATTAATGGTAACTCCAATATTTCATGCTGATTTCACTTTCTCTGCCATCCGTAATCAATTAATTAATTATTTTGGATATTAACCATTTTACTACTTCTCAGCTTATTGACCGTTCGGGCAGTTTAACACTAGGCTCGCTGACTTGTTTTATAGTCATGTAATAATAATGATTTTTAACTATATAACCAAATGCCAGTACAATACAGATATATAAATTGCCATAAATGTTTATATTTCATGTAAATATAACCAAAGATATTATCAAGGAATTGCTCAATAACCCTTTCTTAAAGAAATACACAAATTACCGTAGATTTTCATAATGTTAACTGATATTATCACAGGGAAATGTTCATTAGCCTTAAATATATAAAATACTATAAAGCTCTATATAATATTTGTTTGTAAAGAATGACAATAAAACCAAATTCCTAGATGGGTTATTCCTTATTCCTTCACCTGTAATTATAATAATATTTTAAATTTATGTTATTTCTTTAAAATTTAAGCATGTTTTAAGTGTAATTAGAAATTTAGTAGATTAGATAATAAGATACAATTAGTGTAAGTGAAATAAGACAAAAATCCCAAAAGAAATTAAATTGATCCCGCGGGAACTATGTACTGTACATTGGCGGGAACTATTTTTATAACCAAGACACTTATGTATTATAAGAGATTTAATCCATCTATATCTGAATAACTTTTAAAATATTTAGTGAAAATATAAATAAATGTTAATATGCAACTTTCTGGATATACCGGGTACAGAAATAAGTTTTTTTTAAGATTTTTGTATATCAGATGTCATGTCGGGAACCTGCAGCGTTTACCCTATAATTTGAGTTTTTCTGGCTTATTGTGAACGATTAATAATTGACTCAATACCATTAACAATCTTCAAGTGTCAAATTATCATACAGTGGACACTTATAACGTATTAGGTAAGTAACATCATTGTAATTCCACTGTTCGTACATTTATTTCCCGAATCAAGTTTAAATTTAAAAATATATGCATTAAATTATTCTTTTAATTTATAGTAAGTGAAATTATCTAGTTAAGGTAGAGTTTGGTGTAATTCTGAGGGTATTTTTGGGTGAATGTTGATGTTTTAGCTAAAGTTAACTTGGTAGGTGTGTTGTTACGTATATCTCAGGTACCAGGAATACTTTTTGTGCCTTTGTGAATCTTCATAAGGTTTATAGATACATTGTTTGACATATACTTTATATTTTTAACCCAGTTTAAATTACATGTTTATTTAGTTTACACGTTAATTGGAAGAATTGATTATACTGTATCAGATTTTTGTACAAGCCGAAACACACACACACACACACATCACTTAATATATAACAAAATCAGGTCACAAAATAAAAAATAAAATGGTTTCTAGGTATTAACATATCCTCATACTGCTAATAATTAGTAAATTTCTTATGCTACGCCAACACTCTGTGCGCCACTGTATATATAACTCATTAACTGACTCGTTCGCTGACCCAGAACTATTAAATATAGTCATGTGTTTTAGGATGAAATTTAATATCTTCGTTAATTTGTGCATGACTCGACAGGTGACCATATACTGGTTATTAAATATGGCTAATACAGATATATGCCAGCTGATTTAACTTACTGATTAAATACTCTATTGCTGCCTGGGGGGTTAGGTTAGGTTAAGTTTGATGAGGTTAGTTTACCTTATGTTTGGGGAGGTTAGTTTACCATATGTTAGGTTTGATAAGAACATAAGAATAGAGGAAACTGTAGCGGGCCTCTTGGCCCACATTGGGCAGTCCCATTTACACCCAACCCCTATTGCTCATATAACCATCTTACCTGTGTTTGAAGGTATCCATCGTATTCGAGTTAATAATGATATTTGGTAACTTGTTCCATTCATCCACGACTCTATTTCCAAACCAATGTTGACCTATTTTGCGCCTAAATCTAAATTTGTCTAATTTAAAACCATTGCTACGGGTGTTTAGCCCTGACTTCCACTTATACACCTCTATCAGGTCGCCCCTCGCTCTACGCCTCTCGAGGGAGTGCAAATTAAGATGCTTTAACCTGTCTCTATACTCAAGGTTCCTAATGCCCGGGATTAGTCTTGTCATTCTCCTCTGAATTCTTTCCAAGGATTCTATATCCATTCTGTAATAAGGTGACCAGAATTGAGCTGCGTAATCCAAGTGAGGTCTCACAAGAGTAAGATATAGTTTTAGGATGACCTCGCTGGTCTTGTAACTAACACGCCTTTGTATGAACCCAAGTACTTTATTAGCCTTGTTTCGAGCAAATACACATTGTTTACTTGGTTTAAGGTTCCTACTTATCATTACTCCTAAATCCTTCTCACAGTCGGATTTCTCTCTGTGATGTGGTTATATCAAGTTATGTTAGGTTAAGTTAGGGAGATAAATTAATTAAAATAAGCTGGGGAGGTTAGGTTAGGTTAAGTTAGGGTAGGTGAACCATACGATCCTACATTAACAAAACAACCAGTAACTACATCGAGGTACCATCCTTAGCCACCCTTTTGATCAAGTCTTTGTACTCAGCGAACCTAGTTATTTTATTGAAGATCCAGGGCCCATAAGGCACTTCCTCCTCTGGGTCCGTGGTAAGGGTTGGTGTCCCGCCAGGTAACACGATGTTGATGTTGCCATGGTACCGCGGCTCCAGGAAGAACGGCACTGAAAACCTGTTGAGGGAGAACTAATGTGTTATAATACGTTACGTCTTAAAGTGGTTTTGTATTGCATTGTATTGCATTGTATTTGTATTATTTTATATTGTATTGTATTATTTTGTATTGTATGATATTGTATTGTATTAATTGTATTTGTATTGAATTAACTATATCTCAGGATTTACCGCACCTGTCAGTAGGCTCAGTTTGGGGGATTAAGTTAAAATCATATCAAATCAGAATTAAGAGACTCAAAATTAGCTTAGATTAGGTTAACTTAGGTAAGGCTAAGTTAGGTCAGGTAACGTTAAGTTAGGCTAGATTAGGTTAGCTTAGATTATGTTAGGGTAGGTTAGGTTAGGCTGCGTTTGGTTAGGTTAGATTATGTTAGGCTAGTTTATATTAGAATAGGTTAGGCTAGGTTAGGTTAGATTATGTTGCCTTAGATTAGATTAGTTTAAGCTAGGTTAGATTAGGCTAGGATTAGGTTAAGACACCCAACAATGAAAACCTTCACACTAACCGATCACCACAACAATCAATAACTCGGTGACTTGTGGCCTTGAGTTTACCCCCACTGATGGCAGCTAGAACCATCCCTATGTTTACTACAAGGAGGCCAGGGCGGTGAGGCACATCCAGAATGGAGTCGTCTTTCCACCTCACCTGCAGACCTGGGTACTGCTTAAAAGTGGTCAGCAGAGTGAGCATTACGGAATCTCGATGTTCTCCTGTCTGGATTACTGTACCGGGAGATGTGAGGAGTGTTAGTGGTTGTACCGGGATATGTGAGGAGTGTTAGTGGTTGTACCGGGATATGTGGGAAGGGTTAGTGGTTGTACCGGGATATGTGGGAAGGGTTAGTGGTTGTACCGGGATATGTGGGGAGGGTTAGTGGTTGTACCGGGATATGTGGGAAGGGTTAGTGGTTGTACCGGGATATGTGGGAAGGGTTAGTGGTTGTACCGGGATATGTGGGGAGGGTTATGTGTGGGGAGGGTTAGTGTTGGGAGATGTGGGAGGTTAGTGGTTGTACTGGATATGGGGAGGGTTATGGGAGATGGGGGAGGAGGGTTAGTGGTTGTACTGGAGATGGAGGGTTAGTGGTTGTACCGATATGGGGAGGTTAGTGGTTGTAGTGGTTGTGGTTGTACCGGGATATTAGTGGTTGTGGTAGTGTTACCGGGATATGTGGGAGGGTTAGTGGTTGTATGTGGGAAGGGCTAGTGGTTGTACCGGGAGATGGGGGTTAGTGGTTGTACCTGTACCTGGATATGTGGGAGGGTTAGTGGTTGTACCGGGATATGTGGGGAGGGGTGTAGTGGTTGTACCGGTTGTACCGGTGGGGGGTTAGTTGTACCGATGGTGGGAGGGTTAGTGGTTGTACCGGGATGTGGATATGTGAGATGTGGGAGGGTTAGTGGTTGTACCGGGAGATGTGGGGAGGGTTAGTGGTTATATGTGGGAAGGGTTAGTGGTTGTACCGGGAGATGTGGGAGGGTTAGTGGTTGTACCGGGAGATGTGAGGTGTTAGTGGTTGTACCGGGAGATGTGGGGAGTGTTATTGGTACCGGGAGATGTGGGGAGGGTTAGTGGTTGTACCGGGAGATGTGGGGAGTGTTAGTGGCTGTACCGGGAGATGTGGGGAGGGTTAGTGGCTGTACCGGGAGATGTGAGGAATGTTAGTGGTCGTACCGGGATGTGTTGTTGTTATCATTACTACTACAACCATTATTATTATTATACTTCATTGGTCCTCCGAGGAAGATTGTTTAAGTTATAACCCTTTGAGAACTATGGTTTAAGAATGTCAATGTATTATAGTCTTAAGGACGATGGTTATAATGCCGTAAATACTCACCCACTTCTCCTACTCGTGCGCTCTCTGGTGGATGAGGTCTAGGGGGGTAGTGGATGAGTCGGAGGGTGGAGAGGTGGTCAGGGGTGAAGAGGGGGGTGAAGAACTCAGTCGGGGCGTCGAAACCTTCCGATATGAGACGAAGTAACTCCAGCGACGCTTCGGTCATCTTTTGGTGGTAGTTTTCCATCCACGTCTGAGAGAGTGTGTGGGTGGTGATTGTATTAAAGAACTAGTACACCTAGGCGTGAATTTGTTTAAGGTGTAGAAGCTGTCGCTAACACAACAACTACTCCCCGAGTTGCATGACCCAATGTCAAGGATTGGTCCGAGAAGACCGGACAACTCGCCAACTGCACTGGCTAACCATTACCCCGGAATACGATCCGCAAATTAATTAACATCCAGGTCCCCAATTACTGTTGGGTAGACAGAGGCAAATGGCGTAAAGGAACTTGCCCATAGTTTCACCCTGCCCGGGGATCAAACCCCGGGTCCGGTCGCTTGGCGAGGATGCTGACCACTACACCACAGGTCGCCATGCGTGTATTAGGAACAATCTACACCACATAACAGACCGCCTGACCTTGTAATAAACAGACAAAAGAATAAAAAGTATATAAGAAAGCGAGTTAAGTAAAGAAAGTAACTCACCCTGAAGTAGTCGGTGAAGGTGGTATCGCCAGAGGGGTCTACAGGCCACTGGTTATCCTCGTAGAAGATCTTCTCTTCCAACTTATCAGGAGAGCTGAGTTGGGTCTCAAGCTTGGCACCTACCTCGAACCCTGCCCAGATTAGGTTAGGTTAGCGTTAGGTCAGTATAAACGCCTTGGGAATAAGGACGTTCAGGTGACGGGCAAGTCAAAAGGAATGATTGAAACTCGCCTGTCGACGCATTCAATATTTATTGATGTGGTCAAAACCTGCAGAGAACAACGCGTTCATTAGTATTACCTGGTGATCCATCTGATACATAATTAGTTAGTCTCACACAATTTATCTTAATTATAATTGATTATTGAGCATAGTGACATAACACAAAGTTCATAACTCTATTAATCTTAGCTTCGCTTCACTCTGCATTGTCTTATTACTCCAGGTTAGGCAGAAACGAGTAGGCGTAATTAGTCAACAATATTTCAGTACCGAGGGGCATGTCTTCACTGTTTGTACTTACAAGTGCGGGTCAATACAGATGTATTACAATGTATTAGCGTTCGCAACAAGGCAAACAGGATTCTTGGGTTCATATCTAGGTCTGTGAGTAACAGAACTGCTGACGTTATCTTGAAACTTTACCTAGCATTAGTGAGGCCACACATGGATTATGCGGTTCAGTTCTGGTGTCCTTATTATAGAATGGACATAGATTCTTTGGAGAGAGTACAAAGAAGAATGACAAAAATGATCCATAATATTAGAAACCTTCCATATGAAGAAAGACTGAAAAGCTTAGGCTTACATTCATTAGAGAGGCGTAGAGTTAGGGGAGATATGATAGAGGTGTACAAGTGGGTAAGTGGGATTAACAAGGGTAAAATGGAAGATGTTCTGAAGCTCAGTAATAACGAAATAACTAGAACAAATGGCTTTAAATTAGATAAATTCCGATTCAGAAAGGATATAGGCAAGCACTGGTTTGGTAATAGAGTTGTGGATATGTGGAATAGGCTACCGAGTGCTATAGTAGGATCGGGGACGCTAGGGAGCTTCAAGACGAAGTTGGATAGGCACATGGAAGTGCTGGGATGGGTGTGAAAGGGATCTGCCCTGTATGGGCCAGTCGGCCTCCTGCAGTATCCCACTTTCTTATGTTCTTATGTTCTTATGTACTAATGAACGCGTTGTTCTCTGCAGGTTTTGACCACATCAATAAATATTGAATGCGTCGACAGGCGAGTTTCAATCATTCCTTTTGACTTGCCCGTCACCTGAACGTCCTTATTCCCAAGGCGTTTATAGTTAGGTTGGCGTTAGGTTAGGTTAGGTTAGTGTTAGGATAAGTCACCCAACCCACTCACTCACTAGCCCCAACCTCACTCAACGCTAACCCACTCATTCACCTCCGCTCACCCCCTCTTCTCCCACTCCCCCCACTCACCTTCTTTATGAGACACCTCTCCCTGGATAACTGGGAAGTAGCCTCTGTACTCATAGTCAGAGGCTGGATTAAAGCTCTTCTTGGATATCTTCATCCTCGTCTCTATCGGCAAGCTGTAGAGGTCAAAGGTGAGGTAGGGGCCAAGGGTGAGGTAGGGGCCAAGGGTGAGGTAGGGGCCAAGGGTGAGGTAGAGGTCAAAGGTGAGGTAGGGGCCAAGGGTGAGGTAGGTAGGTTAGATTAACTTAGTTTAGGTTAAGTTAAATATATTAGGGTAGGTTATCGTTCCTTAGGTTAGGTTAAATTAGGGTTGGTTAAGTTAATATTAAGGTGAAATAAGCTGGAGTACTTAACCTAACCTAACCTTAACACAACATATCACAAGTACTAATATGCAGTATATATATATATATATATATATATATATATATATATATATATATATATATATATATATATATATATATATATATATATATATATATACAATCAACACCTCAACCCGCCAGGATTCGAAACCACGGCCCACGACTGTGACCGGGGAACGCTACCTCTGGACCACCAGGATACTAAATGCAGTCCTAGACTCTGTTATATTTCACACAAAGCCTGTTCAGCGAGCTTATGGCGCCGTGAACGGAGCCATAAGTTTGTGTGTGCGTGTGTGTATATATGTCTTTGTGTTGGTGTGTGTGTGTATGTATGTATGTATGTATGTATGTCTTTGTGTTGGTGTTAGTTTGTGTGTGCCTGTGTGTATGTGTGTGTACCATGAAGACCCACCTGAAGAACCAGTGTGTTAGCCTCAGCAGTTCACCTTCATCGCACCCGTCAACGCCAGCTAGATAAATAAAACCCACATCAGTTAGCGCCTCCCGAAGTTGTTTTACCAGCGCTCCCCTTGTCGTCCCCTTCGCCAGGCGTAGATCTATTACCGGTAATTCCTTCGCCGACATCGTTCACACACACACTGGATATATACAAAATTCAGTGGTATAATTTTAACATGGTTACGTGGTCGTGGTCCTCAGCTAAACATCGTACTAAAGTCAGTTTTCGGGGTTTTCGACGTATTGGTTTAGCTTGTGTAGTAGTCCGTGTTAAGTAAAGTTGGAGTAGAACTGGAAGGTGAGAGGGAGTGGGGTGAGTGAGTGGGTCGGGGTAAGTGGGGGTGAGTGAGTTGGGTTAGGATGAGTATAGTGGTTAGTGAGTGATTGGGTGGGTTGGGGTGAGTGAGGGCGAGTGGATTTGGGAGTGAGTGAATGAATGAGTGGGAGTGGGTGTTAGTAAGTGAGTGGGTTGGGGGAGTAAGGGAAACATTAACTTAACTCAATAACCATCTTGTTGAAACGAGTCCTGGGGAGAAGTAGGGAGGAAGGGGAGGGGGTGAGAGAGAGTGGACTATTCTTCACATATGAATAGGTCGAGAGAAAGAATTTATTCATACACGGAAAAATACATATATATACAAGCCTCACCAGGTATAGAGTGACGAGTGTCGAGATGGGAGGGGAGTAACGACGTCTGCAGTCCACCAAGGTCGAATTCACACTGACTGGTCACCGCCGTCACCCAGGCACCATACGACCTACCTCCCCTATACCAAAGACTATGATAAGCTTTGCCTATACTCATCGTGAGACAAGCCCCTCTTACTACTCTCCCAATGCCCTTGTCTCAGAATAGAAATATGATAAAGTATCTTTTTATCCTCAGTAAGGGGTGAGGTGTAGGGGATGGGATCTTTGTCTTGATCGTCATATATTTTACTTCCTGGCTAGAGGTCGTCACCCCTTCCTTGGAACAATGTTTACTGGAAAACTAGACATATTTTTAACTAAATGAAAAAGGCTTAAGAGCTAGAACCTAATCACGCAAGATGTAAGATCAAATATAATCATTATACCCTCAGCATACCAGGTTGAGCCCGGACACTGTCAATCTCTTACTTTCCTTCAAATTTCCTCCCTCTTTGTCCTTGATCCTAACCCCCCCCCTCTCCCCTCCCCCAAATTGCCACCAAAGTACTTCCAATCCCAATCCCTGTCCCCCCACTCAGCATAACAAGCAATAGCCTTCTACCTTATCTACAGGCGTCAAGTCAAGTCAAGAACGGAGGCGGGATGCAGGGGCAGGCCTTATTGTGGATGGATCAGTGGTATTATTTTATTTGGGGTGGGTGGGTATGGTTAGGTTAGGTTGGGTTGGGTTATGTAGTAGATTTTTTTTGCAGCGTTGTCTCGTGATGGCACTCCTTGTGATGGTACTCTTCTTGATGGCACTCCTTGTGATGGCACTCCTCGTGATGGCACTCCTTGTGATGGTACTCTTCTTGATGGTACTCCTCGTGATGGCACTCCTTGTGATGGTACTCCTCGTGATGGCACTCCTTGTGATGGCACTCCTTGTGATGGGTGAAAAATGGCACTAGTCATGTTGTCTCGCTCGAGGTCAGGTCAGGTCAGGTCAGGTCAGGTTAGGTTTCTGAAGAATAATTTATTTCTCGTCTGTACCATAAGCCTCAACCTAACCTAACACACATTGATTTTTCTCCTCAGTTATATCAAGACTCCAGTAACCGGAGTCCTCTGTGAATACACTTAACAGATGCACTCATCATAACTCAAGTGCCTTATCAGTTCAAGATACAATGTCTGTTGTTGTTTATAAGGATAAATATTGTTTGTCGTTCAAGGTTATAAAATAATAGTCATTATTGGTGTAAATAGAGAGATTTATTGAGCTATAATAATAATAATAATAATAATAGTAATAATAATAATAATAATAATAATAATAATAATAATAATAATAATAACAACAACAACAATAATAATGGTAATAATAAAAATATGCTCTCGTTATTCAATCAAATTCTCATAAAGTTTACAGTTTGTTCAGCATGTACTGTACTGTATATAGACAATGTATATAGATCAAGCAGCTATACTTCAATAAAATTATATATTATATGTAGTATTAAACAGTATTGTAGAGAAGACACCATGAGTACAATAATTTAGTTCCTTGAGTACTATGGAGTAACCTGACACAATATTGTTAAACCTCTTGAGTACAATGATTTTAATCTCTTGGGTATGATGGCATCGTACTCAAGGAAATAAATCATAGTACTAAAGTGGTGAAAAGTGTCTTACTGGGTTAATTCATCGTACTCTAGGAGGTAAATCATAGTACTAAAGTGGTTAAAAGTGTCTTACTGGGTTAATTCATCGTACTCTATGAGGTAAATCATAGTACTAAAGTGGTTAAAAGTGTCTTACTGGGTTAATTCATCGTACTCTATGAGGTAAATCATAGTACTAAAGTGGTGAAAAGTGTCTTACTGGGTTAATTCATCGTACTCTAGGAGGTAAATCATAGTACTAAAGTGGTTAAAAGTGTCTTACTGGGTTAATTCATCGTACTCTAGGAGGTAAATCATAGTACTAAAGTGGTTAAAAGTGTCTTACTGGGTTAATTCATCGTACTCTATGAGGTAAATCATAGTACTAAAGTGGTGAAAAGTGTCTTACTGGGTTAATTCATCGTACTCAAGAAAATAAGTCATAATACTCAAGAGGTTAAGGTTAAGTTATGTTAGCTTAATGGGTTTCCTCCCAAATTCTCAAACAGCCTCCCGTACCTTTTAACTAGGGTGTCTAATCTTTAGGTGAAATAAGTTGGGGTGTCTATTCTTCAGGTGATCTGAAATTTCTAATTTGAGTGTCGTATGTGTGGCAGCTTTGCGGTTAAGAACTTGATTGACAAAGCTTGGAGTACAGTTTGCCTATACCGTACTGAGTAATTAAGTCTGGTCTTGACACTGAAGGTGCTATCACTTTTCACTGCCACACAGGACAGAGGTTCATATACAGTATGTATAAGTCATATTCCATTTAAGGACTAATCAGAGTGGTCTTGCAAATATTGGATAGATTGCAACGATGTCCTCCAGAAATCCTAATTCAATGTAGTAATTACTTAGTTCATGATACAGTAAGCCAGGTGGACTGAAGTCTTTGACGGTGTCACATTCAATGACATAAAGGTCAAGTGTATGTCTTAAAGGTGGCAACAGTGAAGAGAGTTAAGGTGTGGAGGTCGGGCAAGAGGCGTCGTCACGTGGGGAGAACATCTGCCACCCCAAGGGACACTCCTTAGTGAACCCCAGATGCTCGTGGAACTTAATGGAAGCGTAGTTGTAGTCGTTGACGTAGCTCGACACTCTGTGCTCCTCCTGCAGCAAGTGGGCAGCCAGAGCGAGAGTGGCGGCTCCTCCCAGCCCTAGACGCCGGTATCCCTCCAGCGTGAAGACGTTGCTGATAGTGTTGACCTGTGAGAGGTGTGCCCAGGCCACGGGGGGCGCCTCACACTCCCCTTCCCCACTAGCGCCGCTGTCTCGCTCTGTCTCGGCACCAGAGAGACTATATCCTGCAGCCTCTCCCTCGCCTTGAGTGGGGTAGACAGCGTAGCCTGGGAGGGTGGCCAACACCCTGGTGTAGTTCTCCAGGGTGCTCAATCTGCGGTACTCCCAGTGGCTGCACAGGTGTTGGGCGTGACGGGTGTTGATTGGACCCAACCGGAAGCCTTCAGGTAACCTTGCAAAGTGATCAGTAAAGTATTGTGTCTTAAAGTTATCAGGATTATAGGCTGACGACTTACATCTAACTTTGGTCAATTATCTGGAAAACTTCCCTGGCAGAATTAACGAGCGCCTTGTCTTGCGTGGGGCGCGGCAGGAGCCAAACGTCTAAACTTTACAGAGTATTACACTATTTTTTTTTGTTGCAGTGTCGTGCCTTTTTATTGTGGGAAAATTTTAAGGTGAGGGAAGCACAACATCCAAAGTTTAAGACGATAACACACATTAACGTGAGACTGGGTGTGTGGGTGGGGTGTGTACTTACCTGGGTGTGTGGGTGGGGTGTGTACTTACCTGGGTGTGTGGGTGGGGTGTGTACTTACCTGGGTGTGTGGGTGGGGTGTGTACTTACCTGGGTGTGTGGGTGGGGTGTGTACTTACCTGGGTGTGTGTGCGGGGAGTTTGTCGCGGGTGATGGTGAAAAGATGTGAGGGTATCATTGGGCGTGGCATCAGTCTCCCCACGCCCACCCGCCCACTCCTCTTCATCTCCTCCACCTGTTATAAGATCACAGTTCATTAACCTGACGACCAGGTAATTCACTATCAAGAGTACCAACATGACCTACGAGAGAGAGAGAGAGAGAGAGGTCAGGACCTACCTTACTCAGTAGGTGTTGAGCGCAGGCGAAGAAAAAGACGGGTTGAGTCCAGTCTATAACAGGGGCAGATGACAGTAGTTCCGCCACCGTCTCTTCCTCCTCCTTTTCAGTATCCCAGAACAAGGACACTGACTGTTTCTTATCCTGTCAGTGTAGAGAGGATGTCAGGTTAAGTTCACCTGATCATTAACCACCCCACAGCTTATTTCATCTTTGGATTAACCATATAGTTAGGGATTAATGAATAGTAACAGAAATATTAATGGTAACAGTTGAGGGTAAGAGGTCCAGGGGAAGACAGAAACAGGGATGGATAAATTAACAGTTGTGGTCCCCAGAAGAATTGGTAAATATAACAAAAAATAAAATTAATACAAAAATGAGTGGAGGAATGGTCACCAACCCTAAGATCACCCAGACAAGAGAATGACACTTTGGTTGATTTATTATTTATATTTCTTAAAACTTTTGGATTGATTACTCTCACTCACGTCTTTACTCGTGGACTCAGCGTTCATGGTGGTGAGTACGAAGGTAGAGGAGGACTGAGATGGCGTAAAAATCCGATGTTCGGTCATCTGATACCGAAGATGCATGTTGACTACCCCGTGAACCTGAGGCCAATTGTATTATAAATATTAAGATAATTTTACTCGGTAGTAGTACAGGGTAATAGGAACACTAGCAGTTATCGCAATAGTAGTAACAGCGGCAATAATAGTAATAGTAGTAGTAGTATAGAGTCAAGTAAAGGCACTGAAGGACTCACGGTGACGGAGTGTGGGAGGTACTTGGCCAGACACTTCAGTAGTTGAGGCAGCTCCTCAGGATTCACCTCTCGTAGTCCCTCCATCATCGACCACTGTTTTCTTCGTCACCCACTGTTAGATGATGTAGGAGAGACTATGACAATTACTGTGCACAAGAGGAATTGAAAACCGTGTTTGAAGATGGCCGGTCCGAGGGCCACCTAGGCGTGAATTTGTTTAAGGTGTAGAAGCTGTCGCCAACACAACAGCTACACCCTAACTTAACTAGTTCATGACCCTATGTCAAGGAATAGTCCGAGAAGACCGGACAACTCGCCAACTGCACTGGCTAACCATTACCCCGAAACACGATCTACAAATAGATACTCATCCAGGTCCCCAATTACTGCTGGGTAGACGGCACATTTCTTCACTTACGAGATGTCCATAACTTAGACCATAAAAAACACCCTTAAAACTTATCTGAACTTTTAATACAAATAATATATATATATATATATATATATATATATATATATATATATATATATATATATATATATATATATATATATATATATATATATATATATATATATGCTCACCTTGCGAGATGCTGAGTTCAAGGTCGTCTGAGGGAAGACTGCGCTCCTCACGTAGCGAGAGGTTGTGGAACTAGGCCTATATGATACTAAATGTAATTTACCGAATTAATATGGAGGCGAATTATGAAACGAAATATCAGTTATTAAATTAAAAGTAATGATAGATCGTTTATCAGTCTGAATAATGTTACGGGTGTCCCAAGAAAGTTATTAGTTAGGCGGAAAATATGTCACGTACTGTAGGACTAAGCTAACGCCTTGAGAAGACACGAGGCTGGCTAGTCATCAGTAGGGCCCGGATAGTTATGCATTTGCATATTTCATATGCAAATGCATATTTTGCGTGATTTCTATGATAAGTGCATATTACCTAGATAACTGCATATAAATGCATATTTTGGTAAAATATTCATCTGGCAGTATCTCTTTGTTGCCACTGAATGAGCACACGTGGTACTGGGAGGTGAGGTGAGGTGTGGTTAGGTGAAGTGAGGTGAGGTCACGTCGCTTTAATCTGTCGTTTCCACACCTGGTCATGACTCATTGGACTAGTGAGTTAGTCAGTCAGGAGCAGTGCTGCTGTGTGGAGCTACTCTCTTCTGCTGCTCGTGAAAATGCCGAAAGTACAAAGAAACCAAAATGAAGTGCTGAGATCATATGTAAAGGAATTTGATGCATTTACTACTGATGGAAGTGTACTGTTTTGTAAATATTGTGAAGCACCAGTGACAGCGAGCAAGAAATTTCAAGTCCAACAACACCTTAAAACAACCAAGCACATCCGACTCGAAGCTGTTAAGTCCAATAGTGCACAAAAGGAGCAACAACTACTTCTTGCATGTTCCAGTAAGTCAGGGCCTGATCGTTCCCAGTTCAACGCAGATTTGTGCAAGGCATTTGTTTCAGCGGATATTCCATTGCATAAACTGAATAACAAGTGCCTAAAGTCATTCCTGGAACAGTAAACTGGAAAAAAGGTGCCTGACGAATCAACATTACGTAAGAACTATGTTTCACAATTGTTCAAGGACACGATGGAAATCATAAGGAGAAAGGCTTGTGGAAAGAAAATATGGGTGTCACTCGATGAAACCACTGATGTTGAGCAACGGTGTATTGTGAATCTTATTTTTGGTGTGTTGGGAGATGAAACAGAGCGAGGCAAATACTACCTAGTGAATGTTGGTGTACTATCTAAAGTCAACCACTCCACTGTTGCTGGTTTCTTCAACGATTCTCTGCAATTGTTGTGGCCAACGAAGTTAGAGTATGAAAATGTTCTTTTGGTGTGCACTGATGCTGCACCTTACATGTGCAAAGCAATGAATGGACTGCAAGTATTGTATCCATATAAAGTATTGTATGCATATAAATGCATATTTCCCCTGTTTTTAGTGCATATTTGCATGCATATTTCATGGTTTTTTAGTGCATAACTATCCGGGCCCTAGTGATCTTGGTTTCATCCTCTTCACCACTGATCAGCTCCTAAGCCTCTTGGGCGGTCGGTCAGGTCTCTATTACACACACCCAGGTCCTTTCCACATTTGGTCACCGTTATTGTTATTTTATCGTCCAGTTAGGACCCAATTCGACAACAAAAAAGCACCTGATGAATTGGTGTAATTACTGACCTTATTTACCTCAGTTGGTGAAGCCCTGTACCGTCAACGTCTCACACAGCTACTACGAGTACTGAAGGTGTATGATATGAGCCATGGGTCTGTTTGTGGGTCCGTGGGTGGGAAGGAGCCCAGGTGACGCTGCCACCACCACAGAAACTATCGTACGCTGACTGATGTATGTACCTTACCTAAAATATATTGTACATACATCACACTGTCAGTATATAAGGAGGATATTGTTGTTGTTTTAAGTAAGTAATTAAAAACCTAACCTAACTTAACCTAACCTAACCTAACCCATTTACGTAATAGGCCTACCAGCTACAAGACGAAGTTAAGGGACAGTTTTGTGAATCCAATTAAACTTTACCTTATCATCTTTGATTTGGCTTGTTCGCTTGTATGTACATCTATCTATCACCTAAGTCACGTAAGATAAATTGAGAGTTTCTGTGGTAGTGGTGGAGCATCAGTGGGGCTTCTCGTGTGTGATCGTCTTACTCGGGGTCACTGGTGTAACTTGACACATTGCTGCCTCCTGCGACATTTTTCAAACACAAACGGACAGACAGATAGACAGACACGGACAGTCAGAGATAGATAGACGTTCAAACAGAGATAGAGAGGACAGACAGGTATAGAGGGAAGACAGATAAACAGACAGGACAGACAGGTATAGAGGGAAGACAGATAAACAGACAGGACAGACAGTTATAAACAGAGAGGACAGACAGACAGAAGCAGCATGGTTACAAGCGTGATGTAGAGAGAGCTGGTTGGTGAGGACGCTCGGAGAAGGACAGCTTGTGGGTCGCCATGCTCGCCAGCGAGAGAGAGGACCGCCAGGCAGGCGGGGGAGCGAGGACCGCCAGGCAGGCGGAGGAGGAGCGAGGACCGCCAGGCAGCGGCGGAGGAGCGAGGACCGCCAGGCAGCGGCGGAGGAGGAGGTAGAAAGAGACAGGTCACCACGAGGTCAGGTCTTAAATAGCTGGGGTAGGCGTGGCTTAGTAGTTGACCCCCGCTCCGTGATGTATGGCGGCGCTGGTTGACCGAGACCACGAGGCATACACTGGGGAATTGGTGGGGTCGGCTACTCAGCGACAAACAGCGTTGTAGGGGAGAAATCCACTACAATACCTAATTCCAACATGGGACGGAATCCACACAAATTCGTTACGAGAGTTGTTCTCGTCGGCATTTATCACATTTCTTTTAATATCACATACAACTTTAGACACTTTGAGAGTCACAGAATATCACCCAACCTCCATTTTCTTTAAGGTAGTCTGTGGCTAAGTAGATTCCAGTTAGTTCAGTTTGTGTTGTGTTGGCCCAGTTGTTCAGCCTTTGCCTGTTTGACACTATCATCTCTTTTTCTTTATATATTACACATGCACAGCCTGTTCTACCTGTGTTAGTCTACACAGAACCATCAATAAAAGCATAACATTCACTTGATTTAATACTCTCTATGTGTCTGTTAATAGTTTCTAATGTGATACATCTCATCACATCGGTGTTTAACATTTGCTTACTACCAACAGGAGTGTATCCAATTGTCACGTAGATTACGTAACTGTGATAATTATACACATAATAGCATCGCTGGCTCGCTTTCTTTAGTACTATTTTGTTTTTACATCCCAGTAAACATCTGGCCATACAGGCGTAGAGTCTATGTTCAGTACGCACAAAGTAACATGAGTTATAATTCTTGCCATTTTGAAAGAGCTTCCTTGTGCCTTTGTAATGTACGACACTGGTGGTCAGAGTCCGACAACTTGTGGTGAGTGTACGAAGGTGAGGAGACGACGCTGTGTTGTTGTTGTTTACTCTGACACTCTGGGAAGCTGCCGTGTTATTTAAATAAGTTTTATAGACACAGGACAAATACTTCATGGAGAATAAAGAGCTGGCGAGTCTTAAAAGATCAGCCGATACAACAGAGGAAGATGATCTTAGAAAGGGAAAGAAGAAGAGAGGAAAGGTAAGATAAACTCCGGTGATGCTGGTTGCTTAATTCCCGTTCTTCCCCTTGTTGGTGAATTAGGTCAGTTTATTACCTTGAGTAGCTACCTGCAAAAAATAAAATTCACTGTGCGACTTATTATCATTCCAACAATATTTACTGTGTATCCCAAGTGATCAAGACGAAATAAAACAAAAGTTAGTGTTTTTGTTTAGTTTTGAAATATTTTTGGGGTCCGACTAATTACCCAAATGTAGCCAAATGTAGCCAGAATGAAGTCAAATAATGGTCCTAGATGAATAAATCGGACTGCTAATCACTTCTCGACTAGTATTTGGTGTCACAAAGTCACAAAAAATTGGAAAACTTACTTTAATCTGAGTTAATAGATCTCTCTTGCTACCTTCAGTTCATTATTCCTCTTTGCTTTTCTTATCTCAGTCTTAATCCTACTGGCCAATACCTTATAATTATCTCGGAGGTAAACTTCACCACGAATTATTGTCCTACCAATAGCCTTCCTTTGTCCATTCATATTCTTTAAATAATTATTTATCCATTTAGGGTCATTGTTGTTTGATCTGAGTTTTCTATATGTTATGTTCTGCCTTTGTGCATTAAGTAACTCATTATTTACATTGTTGTGGAACTCGTCAACCTCAGATCTCGTGATCAGGTTATCCTCAACCGTCATATTTTGTGAGGGCGTTGTTGTCAGGTCTCCAGTTACAGTGATCTTAATTGTGAACTAAATAGAAAATAGAAAATTATATATATAAAAGAAAAAAGATCACCTCTTCTACATATATACATTGATATATTAATAAGATAGAATGAAAAAATAAATAATAACAAATCAATTCCTTCCCTTATATTCAATGCTGCTTTTTATCATTGTACTTTTATCATTCATGCAAAAATGTGTAAATTTTTACTTTTTACTCCGAGTTCGTTAACCTAAGTGGTCCGAGTTGGTATTTGACGGTCCGAGTTGGAAGTGGGCCGAGTTGGACTGTAACCGGTTAGGGTAGGTCAGGTCAGGTTGATTAAAAAACACCAAAATACACCATAAATATAATATCATACCAATTGGGGAAAGTGGGGTGGAAACGAATTTTTACCATAAATTTTGTACTTTTATTTATCCCTGAGTTTTTACCCTAAACAGTAGTCAACGCCCAGCCGCAGTGTCCTCCTGTTGCCATGTTGTGTCTGATCTGTTGTCTACTCACAAACATTTCCTAACCTTACCAGACTTACCAATTGTAATTTAAGTAGAATATATCACCATTCCCTGGTTTAGTGGTCAAAATATAGTATACTGTACCTTTAAGATGTTAATGAGTTGTACTTCATCATAGGTGGAAGTGGAGGAGGAAGAAGCTGTAACAGAAGTGAAAGAGGAAGTAAAGACGGAGAAACCCGACAAAGATGAAGAAGTGGCAGAGGCAGAACAAGATGACCCAACAGGCGAGTTTCCCTAAAGATAGATCACTTGTTCTTATCTTTATATGCTATAATATCTTACTTATACATGGATACAACATAATATACATAATATACATACAGTATTGTACACTAATTCTTGGTAAAAAAAAGTAGAAAAGTAATTAAGGATGACATCATTTTTATACTTTTAGATTTGGTGTACTGTATATACTGTATTTATTTAATAACACCTTTCACTAATTATTTTAGTGGGGTTGGACGGTGCAGCATTCCAGAGTCGCATGCCAGCAGACAAACTGACCACACTGGAGGGGTCTCTGTTCTCTGACATAGTGAAGAGTCCGCCTCCCACACACAGGCTGTTTCTCCACATAAGGAACAGAATTGTAAGTTTTTAATTTATTGTTTTATTACTACTGTAGCTACCTAGGTCTTCTTGGCTACAGGTTGTCACTGCACATAATTTTGGAAACAGGATAGAGAATTACAGTGCTTATTCCTCATTTGAATATCCTGTATTTATAAATTTGTAGTAGAATACAGTTCTGATTTATAGATATGGTATTCTACATAGAACTTTAGCATTGTTTAAATGATGAAATACAGTATTGTCATTTGTGTACTGATAACAGCAGCCTAATTTTTTTTACTGTGAAGGATTGTATAACAAACTTGTACACATCAGTAGACATAATTGAACCTCACCAGATTATACTATTATTCAGCAACTGTTGATTTATGCAAAACTTTATTCATTAAAAGTTAGACAACCTGATGAATAGTCACCCCAGCTTATTGCACCTGATGATCAAACACCTTAATGCTACCTGGAGGAGAGGTGGGGGGTTAGATTAGATTATAATACAATTTCTAACTAACAGATAAAATAACCTAGGTTGTCTTATCTTCATGTGATTCCCTTAAATAATCCTTAATGTTTATAGTGAAGAATTCAGTTTAGTTCGTTTATATGAAGAAGCAACAGGGGAATAAAATGTCTCCATCTCACAGCTCCAGATGTGGCTGGAGTCCCCCCTTCAGGAACAAACGTACGAGGGAGTGATGGCAGACCTTGAGCCTCCATTTAATTCCGAGGGCGTCTTGTGTGCCCGTATCCATGCTTACCTAGAGCGCCATGGATATATCAATTACGGCATATTTAAAAGGGTCAAGGTAAGAAGAATTATATGCAGCCTTTTAAGGGATTTTTACCATATGGTCGATGCTGCTGAGGTAGTCTTTCGTGGTAACAAATAGAGTGTATTTACCATCTATGTTTTGAGGTTTGCTAATCCCTAATATTGCAATAACCCCTAACCTAACTTAAGATAACATAATTTAACTTAACCTAACCCAAATTAACCTAACCTAATATAACTTAACCTAATATAATATAAATTAACCTAACCCAAGTTAACTTACCCTAACCTAACCTAATCTAAATCAATAGCTTAATTATATGCTATAGAAGGAGATGTGTTCTACCCCCTGGTACCTCTGTCATGTCATCCACATCACTGATAACTTCTACATTTTTTTTCCCCATCATCAAGACATACAGAGCACCTTGAATTCCTTTTCCTGCCATTACTCACTACTCTACAGTTTTTTACTAACCACATATGTTAATTATTGCTGCAGTACTATATATATAGCAACTGAGTTCATCCTCATTCGGCGGTATAGGATCTAAGCTGCTGTGTCGCCAGGGATGTAATTACCACAATCAATTCAACCTCATGTTGTAGATATAAACAGTGTAAAAGGTTTGGTTATGTCCTCATAGTTAACCTCTTGTCCTATACGTCACAGCCCCTCCCCCAGAAGAAGTACGGGAGCATCATCGTCATAGGTGCTGGGATTGCTGGTCTGGCTGCTGCTCAACAACTCACTTCCTTTGGTTTTGAAGTTACTGTCTTGGAGTCCAGGGTTTGTGTACCAAGTTATTTTTGTCTTTTTAATGTAAACATGAGTACAGTCTATTATTGGCTCTCACATTCATTTACTTCACTTCCATAATACATTTGGTTGAGATCCCTCTGAGGAGATTCACTTAAATTTTGGATTTTTAAAAGATTCCCAGTTTCTTTGTGCCTGTTACCCTTAATATATAGTACAGGTATGTAGAGTTTATTGTCTTTCGTTATAGTTTATAGAAGGAAGTATGGTATTTATAGTGATTGATAAATAAATGGCTTAGAATGTTTGTAGGCAGAGTTATGAGGTAATGTAGACACTCTTGATCTTCTTGTTATCAGTTTTTATCTCTCAAGGTGAAGATTACTTCTAAGAATCAGTGTTCATGTTGCCATTGTGTCAATTCAAAATCAGGTACTGTAATTGTGAATATTTTTTCCCACTTAATATCAGGATCGTGTAGGAGGCAGGATCGCAACTTTCCGCAAGGGTCCGTACATAGCCGACCTAGGAGCAATGGTGGTGACGGGTTTAGGAGGAAACCCCGTCAACGTCTTATCCAAACAAATAAACATGGAATTAGTTCGAATAAAACAAAAATGTCCACTGTATGAGTCCAATGGAAACACAGTAAGTACTGTAATTTCTCTGATGAATTATTTTTACCTTCTTAGGGGTGACATTAAGCAGGAATTCCAGTGCAGTATAAATGCAACATCACTCCTTCATCACTCAGAGATCATTGTTGACTAACCGGGTGTGCTGCTCTTAAAATGTCACAAGAAAATACTAAGTGATGTTATTGATGTAGTACAGATACTTAGTGTCAGAGATAAAGTTGAAATTCTGCAGAAATTCAATAAAGGAGAGTTGGGACCCATGACATAGAAGAAACACCACAAATAGCTACAGTACAATACTTAGGTTTTCCACCTTCAGCTCAAAGTTAATTAGCATATAAGTATAAGGAATGAGAAGATAACTGTTTTTGTTGACCATATAAAATTTATAGAGTATTAAGGAATAAATAACCACAGTGTCCTGACGACTGGTAGAGTGTGTGAATGATTACTGACACTGGCTACCACCAGTGTTGTACGCGTCAACGAAAAAAAGTGGCTCCGCCAGCGTAAACGGCAGAGAAATTTGATGCCTTCAGCGTCGGCGTAAACAATTTCATAAATTGACGCCGTTAGAGTCGGCGTCAACACCTAGCAACAACAAGTTTTCAGTGACGTACAAATGCAGCCCCGAAACGCGTATTCTCCTGTGTATGGGAGTAACATATGCAAAATAAAAAAATATTCATTCATTTTTAATCATTTATTATGATTTATATTATATCATTTTAATTACTCATTTGGTCCCCCACAAGAATACTAGCATCTCAAAATGCTTGTCGCTCATTCTGCTGCTCTTGGGCCTCAAGATGTCCTTGCCCACGGAGAACATGAGCTCCACTAGAGGGGATGGGGGTGTTGTATTTGATGAACAACTCCCTCATGGCCTTGTTGGGGAAGGTGTCCTTGTCGAAGGTTTCTCCCTCAGGAAAACACTTGAAAAGGTCACTGTCTTTTTTATTCCTGGGGGGGGGTCTCGTACAGGGCCTAGAACAATTCGTCTTCCATGCACACACCACAGCTTCCGAGCGCTGCTCGGTCGCACATTTTCACAACACAATGCTAACGGTCAGGAAGCAAGTACAATTCTGGTTCAAAATTGAAATCTGTAGAAAGCTGCGCAGGTGCTCGGGCGCGGCAAAAATTTTCCCGGTCGTCTTTATAACAAGATACTTGTAACTGAAAATCGAACTTGGAAAAATAAAAAATTTTAGAAGTTGACGAACAAATTGACGCTTGACGCTCCGCTCGGGTGAAAAGTTGACTGCGTCACCTGTAGCGTCACCTGCCCAAAAATTTGATGGCGTCAGCGTCGGCGTTAAGAAGTTGCCGTCGTCCATTGTAAGGCGTCAACGTACAACACTGGCTACCACTTATAAGATGATTGTAATTACATTTCAGCACTTTGGTAAGTATCTAGAAAACAAATACCGAAAATTAATTAAGGTACCTTTAGACACCCATAGTTTTGGTATTCCTGCCTCCATTTAAACATCTCACACTTATGTCACACCCTCACTGATGTCACACCCTCACTGATGTCACATCCTCACTGATGCCACACCCACACTGATGTCACACCCACACTGTAGAAGACGTTCACCTGTAAGATGCTACTCGCTCACATTGCTTCCTCATCAACAAATATTAAGACTTTAGTAAGGAACTAGTGTACTTCAAGATCCTCCCAGACCTATAGATAATGTACAGTGTAACCATTTGTTGTGGTGTGCAGGTCCTCCACCAGCGGCCTGATCCCTGGTCACTCTATTGAAATATATATATAATTTCCTGAAGAAGATACAGGTATAATATATAACACATCCCAAACTAATCACTTTTCAAACCTCACTTTACCCCAAGTATTTCAGATACCAGATACTGTACTCAGATGCTTTTGAAAAATGGCTGAATTGAAGAGACCAGTGGGAGACATATACACTATTATGATGCAACATACAGTAGCTGTGTCGATCTATACAGAACAGTATATAAATTAAGTTTCCTTTGATCAGTGAGGCATGAAAGATTAAAGAGGAAAAGGGCAAAGGTTATGTACCCAAAAATCATGATGTGTTTTAATGTTTCTCCAAATATTCCATGCTGCTGCTCTTCACCTCCATATTTATTTTGGACTAAGGTGTTGAAAGACAAGGATGAAATGGTTGAGAGAGAGTTTAACCGTCTACTTGAGGCAACCAGCTTCCTGTCTCACCAGCTCGACTTTAATTATGTTGACAATCGACCCATCAGTCTTGGAGAGGGCCTGGAGTGGGTCATTAAGTAAGTAATCCTCTGAAAGTAATATTATTTAATTGATGGTAGATTGTTACAAGAAGTTTCCCCTTATTCTCATAGTACAGTACAGTATATATCACATTAGCTCAGGTTACTCTCAGTGTGTGGGTGGGTAACTTCCTGGGCATCAATGGTAGTTCAGTTTTAAGTCTCATTATGAAAGAAGAATCAACTGTATGTACAGTACAGTTTGTGGTTGGGAATAATACTGTGCTGACTTTGCTGAGGTGATGGAATTAAATTTTTTATTTTTTTGGATCATGAAATCAGAGTCTGTTAACACTTTGTGTCACGTGTATTTTTTCCAAATATATCAAGATTTTTTATAGGCAATTTTTTCTAATACCTCTGTACTGTACTCTAATAACTTTTCTGTTCTTGTTTGAAGTCTTCAGGAAAAGAATGTCAAGGAAAAGCAAGTCACACATTGGAAGACCGTTGTGAAGCTACAGGAGAAGCTGAAGACTGTCTTAAATAAGGTAAGAGGATGGTAGATATTACACCAGTGTTTTATTAGTCATGGTGCTAACTGGTTACCTATGGACTCACTAATTCAGGGAGAGAACATGGATTGCTTGTTATCTTTTTTGTTGTAAATATTGAACAGTCTCACCTAAAGTCACTTAACCCCTTGTGTATGGGTCCCCTACTTTGCCGAATAAAATTGTCTGGTGTTAGCTAAGTGAAATATTTACAGTGGTGTCCCCATCGTGAAGGGGTTAAGGTCCATTTGTCAGGCTCTCAAAATCACAGATCCTCATTTTGATTTTACTATGTACTATTGAATGACATCACATCCATAACATCTTAAAAAAGCAGTACAGTACAATAATTTAATCACAACTGTAATTATAAAACAGTGTTTCCTTAGTATATTTAACTTTTCATTCATGAAGAAACATGTACAGTAGGGTCGGGATATATCGCCAGATAAGGTCCAGTGACGTTTGCTATACAGTATACTAAATCCTGATATATACAGTAATTACATGTAATCACTGAGGAAAATTGGGTTAGGTTCTGGAGGCCAATAAAAGTGACTAAACTTGACTTAACAAGTTTATTTTCTTACTAACTAAAGCACCAATGAACACAAGATTCGGGAACAACAGGCTGTTTCAATATCAAGGAACACCAGACTGGCAGCTGACGCACCATCCTGGGAACACCAGACTCGGCAGCAGATGCCAACTGCCACCCTCACTTGACAATGCCACACCTACATAAACGAACAGCAAAAATATTATTTACAGTATTAAATCTTTCCATTAAGCTTTCCATTTCTTCACTTCACTTTTCACGTCACTAGCAACCCATTTACACTCGCTTTAGAAATTGGAATCTGCAGCAGAGACGGCTGCTTACTCGACACTCACTCAGAAAGACCGAGTGTGACTGCGCGGGTGAGCAGCCACGGTGGTGCCTCTGGTGAGCAAATAACACATTTGTTTGCCATGGCGATACATTTGAAATATTTCCTGCTTGATTTCCCGAGCGAAATAAATAAATTTATTGCTATATATTGGAAAATTTTGATAATTTTGGTAGTCGTTATACAAAAAGATCGTTATAAAAAGTCGCGATATATCCCAACCCTACTGTAGTTATGTGTGGGAGAGAAAGTTTGTGTATCACCAGAGACTTAGACAAAATGTTCAGTAGTGCCAGTTCTATTTAACACGGCATAAAAAGCAGTACGTGACAATGATTTTAGTTGACAGCTGCTTGGGGGGAAAAGTTTGCTTCATGTAAATACTGTAGATATAAAACTCCACAAGCTTTTCCCTCAACAGTTGCTCATTCATATAGATGTATAACTCAGTTTATTTTCCCTCACCAGTTACTCACACTCCATGACAAAGTTGCCTTGCTACACAAGGAACACGGACAGTTGAGTGAAAAAAGAAATTCACGGAATATTACCAATGAATTTGTCTACCGTGTCAAACTCCGTGAACTGCAAAATGCCTGTAAGGTAATTATGAGAGAATGGTTTAAGATTCTTTGACAAGTAAAGATAAAAGTCTGCTAAGATTATGTAGATACTTAGGTCACTAAGATTTAGTCACCGTATTTGTTTTTATTATACTAATGTTAATGTTTATTTTGACGAGTAAAGATGTAAACCTTATAAAAACTTTGAACTTGGTTATTTATATTGTGTTTATATCAACCATCTCAGGAATGGGATCAGTTAGTGGAGCAACAGCGGGAGATAGAGGACAAGCTTCAGGAACTAGAGGCGTCTTCCCCAAGTGACGTGTACCTCTCCTCCCGGGACAGACAGATCCTCGACTGGCATTTTGCTAATCTGGAGTTTGCTAATGCCACTCCCCTCAGTAACCTCTCTCTCAAACACTGGGACCAAGATGATGATTTTGAATTTTCAGGCAGTCACTTAACAGGTATGGAAGATGTCATTAACTAACACTTTTGTTTTAGGTAACCCCTGTATATTGAACATTAATTGGCAGTTAAGGACCCCCTACTCTGCCCTCCCTATGTGTAAAAATTGAACACCAGGAACTCGAAACCTCCACCGGTGATGGCCGCTGTTTAAAGGTTAATGAGATTGTAAACAAAGGCCTTATTATACAGTAAAACCTCCTTATAATGGACTTCTCTATGTAATCCATTAGTGTGTGTGTGTGTGTGTGCGTGCGTGCGTGCGTGCGTGCGTGGCTTCACATCTAACAGACCCTTGATATAACAGAATTTCCTCTCCATGTAGTCCGGTAAACAGAGGCTTCACTATAATCCATTGACACTCCTGTAAGAGAGAATATTCCAGGAAGGATCGATAACTGTTGGTTATTTGCTTCATATAGGTTGGTTGGCTTGGTATACTGTATTACCGCCCTTCAATGGATCACCTGAAAAATAGACATTCTAGTCTATTTCACTCTGATGATACACATTCTAATGCTAACATCACCTTACCTCCTCCAGGAACCAGCAGGGTGTTTATTCATCAGGGTTAATTTTCAAGTGGTCCCATATTTTTGTAAGTTTGCCCAATGACATTTCACTGCCTCCTTGTGTACCAAAAAGGGGCTTAGTGTACAGTGTGATGTATCTACGCTACCCCTCTTTCACTTGCTTTTACAGTCACTATATGGAAATTCCTGTAACTTATGATAAAGTACAGCTGCTCCTCAACTTACAACGGGGTTAGGGACCCAAATCCAGGTCGTAAGTCGAAAATGCTTAAATGTTACATAGAAAATCTAAAATGGATGTCTCTTTTTCTTCTCAGCACCACAAAACTCTCACTTTTGCCAGCCATTTTTAAGTGAATTACAAACGAAAATTTTGTCAGTACACTGCACAATCACTAACGTTGGGACTCAAAAATACGTAATTTGACAAAATTTTGGAACGACCGAGGCGGTAGTATGTCCGGGTGGTCGTAGGTCGAGTATGTAGTAAGTCGAGGAGTAGCTGTACATTATAAAGAGATGATAAATAACAAGGCAGTGGGTGAAATATGAGTTCTATTTGGCAAAAAGCTTGTAAGGACAGAAATTTGTCTCAATTAGGAATTTATACCTTTTTTATTTTTACAGTTCGAAATGGATACTCCTGTGTACCTGTGGGTTTAAGTGAGGGACTCGATATCCGTCTTAATACTGCTGTCCGGAAAATTATGTATTCCAACTCTGGGGCAGAAGTGACAGTCTCCAATGCTCGTAACCATTCTAACCCCGCCACTCTGAAGGGTAAGTCTAGTTTGTACTTCCTCTCACTGTAATGAGGATGTATCCCATGATGTTTCTTATCAAATGGGATATATTATATTCTTTCATGGACACACACACACACACACACACACACACACACACACACACACTTTCTTGTACATGTCTGTAAAGGTTATATTTTTTGTGATAATTTAGGTGTTTGTTACATGATCGGAAATATATTATTCACCCTCATATCTAAGGATATATTCGTTTCTTCCGTTTAATAATTTCTGTTTTTTAGTGTAAGGCGATTTGACCAAGGATAGCCGACAAAGCCATTAGATGCTTATAGTAGCTTTTTACCAGTAGTGTTCTTTAGTATTTAGCCAATGACATGGGCTATTAGCCGGACCAATGTCACTTAACTCGGCTAACTGGATGAGTGACTGTGTGACATAATGATTCTCTATGTTGCAGCTGATGCAGTTTTATGTACGTTACCTCTTGGTGTGCTGAAGCAGTCAGTGTGTGCCAACCAGAATGCCCCACATACTGTCACCTTCAACCCACCTCTACCTCAGTGGAAAGTTGATGCTATTAACAGACTTGGCTTTGGTAATCTTAATAAGGTGAGATGGAAAATTCCCAAACAGCTTTATATTTGTATAACACTTAAGTTTATATTTTCATTATTAGGGAGTTGTATTATTGTTGTTCATTAGTGTCTGTGTTCCTGTGTTATTGTATTGACAAGTTCCCTCAACAAAATTTAGAATTGTTTTAATTTTTCACTTAAATGCCCAGTTGAACCAAATAGCTTTGCCTTTTTAGTACAGTGATAACCCCGTTAGTCGGAACAATTGGTGCAGAGCACTTCTGGGAATGAGAGATTTCTGGGTAACTAGATGACTGAAAGCGGGAAAATTTCTCGGAATTTTCCGGAAAATGTGCCCCTTGGAAAATTGTTCCCAAAGCTGTAATTTTCCGGAAAATTACGGCTTTGGGAACGATTTTCCGAGAAAATTTAAATTCCGGCTATTGGAAAGTTCCGGGTTTCTGCAACTCCGGCTGACGGAGGTATTACTGTATTTATATTTTTTATTAATCTTTATAATCTTTCATTGTCAAAATGAATAGTGTATACCCGAATTTAAATGTTTGATTTTATTTTGCCCTGTACAGTAGCTCATGGAGAGGACATACTGATTTACATGTCCTTCTGTACTGCATTGATTGTCCTACCCAAGATTATCACAAAGATTATCCATTAATTATTCAGTGGAGAGTTGTACTATTTGAAAGCTTCTTCAACTATTTTCCTTACATTGTCCTATTAAAATATTCAAGCTATAGGATACTTTCTTCCAGTTTGGACTTACAGGGAGTGTAGACAGGAGTATTTTACAAACACAGCTTCATAATTTGATCATATTTTGTGAAATAACTCCACAGTCTCATGTAGTTCCTATTGTATTGTCAGATGGTCCAACTCTGAATTAGCTTTGAGAGACTGAAATTTGTCTTAAACTTCTTCTGATTTTAAAATATTTCCAGGTTGTTTTGTGTTTTGACCGTGTGTTCTGGGACCCAAATGCTAACTTGTTTGGCCATGTTGGCTCAACCACAGCCAGCAGAGGTAAGAAATATAATTTGTAGTTTAGTCTCAGAAGTTACTCATAGGTTTGTATTTGAGGAACACTAATGGAGAAGACTTTGTGTGAAAATTATTCTTTTAATAATGTTTACATAGTGTATTGTAAATGAAAACAAATAAATTTTTTTCCAGGTGAACTGTTTCTGTTTTGGAATTTATATCGAGCACCAGTGCTTCTGGCTCTAGTTGCTGGTGAAGCTGCGGCAATTATGGAGAACGTGAGCGATGACGTTATTGTAGGTCGCTGCATCGCCGTCCTTAAGGGAATATTTGGAAATTCTGCAGTACCCCAGGTGAGTTGGCACTAAATTAACAGTGAAGTATTTGTCACTTACCCATTTAAACCTTTTTCCACTATCATGCCAGAAGTCTAGAAACAAGAGCGAACACAACCCTCTTCAATAGCTATCATTCATTGACTCATACTGTTGTAGTAGGTGTGTTTTGTTATGGTGTTCCCCTTCTACAACAAGGACCCAGTATCCATAGGGTTCTTCCTTGTTACTTCACATAACTCAGCATCTCCTCTCAACATCACATCTTTTGCTTTAAACATTTATATAATTGTATTAGAGAACTTAGTTTAAAGAGAATCAGCTAAATGAAGTGATATTGTCTAAGAGAATCAGCTAAATGAAGTGATATTGTCTAAGAGAATCAGCTAAATGAGGTGATGTTGTCTAAGAGAATCAGCTAAATGAAGAGGTGATGTTTAAGAGAATCAGCTAAATGAAGTGATGTTATCTAAGAGAATCAGCTAAATAGAGAGATGTTGTTAAAGAGAATCAGCTTAATAGTGAGATGTTGTTTAAATCAGCTAAATGAAATGATGTTGTCTAAGAGAATCAGCTAAATTAAGTGATATTTTATTTTTTTCCAGCCAAAGGAAACTGTTGTGACAAGATGGAGAGCAGATCCCTGGTCAAGAGGATCCTATTCCTTTGTGTCTACTGGAGCATCGGGGAACGACTATGACATCCTCGCCACTCCCATCTCTCCTCCACAACCTAATCAAACTTCCCAGAATTCTCAGAACTCTAGTGATCCTCCCAGTCCACCTCCTAGGTCAGTACTGATACACTCTCTCATACACTCAGAAGTCTTGTTTGAAAGAAGTGTATCGTAAGTGTTTCATACATATTTTATTTCCGCCTTGGGCCGTCTTATATTCAGTGGAGGAGGAGTCTTGGGTAGATATACACTGTTCAGTTGATAATTTTTCCTTTTCAGGTTATTCTTTGGAGGAGAACATACAATAAGGAACTATCCAGCCACTGTCCATGGAGCCTTCCTCAGTGGGTTGCGTGAAGCTGGTAGAATTGCTGACCAGTTTTTGGGTTGCCCGTACGCTGCCCCTCCACCTCCCCCAACAAATGGAACGGCCAACATTGAAACGTAAAAAGAAAAAGACGATGAAAATTGTCTCGATAATCTCTTACATGGAGGAATATATCTGGAGTTTAAGATATTGAAGAATCTGAAGTTCTTAAATGATGGATATTAGTTAGATTAGTCTGTGTGTTTATTGTGTTTTAAACTAAGATAATGGTAGTAAGTTGAGGATATAAGGTAGAAAAAGTAACATATTATGAAAAGGTAATATTTTCCCCTTGACTCATTCAGATATTACAGCTGAATTTTTTTTGGTACTTTTTTGTAATTCATCTCTGATTTAGTGAAGTTGTTGAAGAGTAGAGAGAAGTTACAATTAGGTTAAATATAGACTAAAAGACATTAGCTTAAAGATAGAGAAATTATCAATGGCTGTCTCACCTTGTTTACATGTCTCGATGACTTTTATGCCGTGTTTTCCGACTCTGTATTATTTGATTGGATGTATTGTTCAACCTCCATGGGTCATTATACTACCCATTAATTCATATACTGTATATATTTTTTTTACTCATACAGTACATGTTCTTCACACACCTAACTTGATATGTTTCTTTTCTATATATATACTTTCTCTTCTATTTACCCTTCATCAGCTTTCAGTACTTGGCTTTATTAAACATTTACACAGCAGCCATCATCATTGGAGTTTCATATTCCTAGTGTGTCATTTTTTTATATATTGAGGGGGACTGCAAGTGGATTTTTGTTTTTTTTTAATTTTTTAGCCATTTTATTCATAGACGTTTAAAAGATCAAGAGGTGTTAAACTATGTTCTACGTGTTTTATCTTGTCGTGTGGGAGTTAGCAGCAGGGGACGGCAGCCATCATCAGTAGAATTTTCATGTTTCCTTTGTTGCATTTTTACACATGGGGAAAGGGATGGGTTAATATGCTGTACTGTATAAAATATGTGATGAAGAATGTAAAATTAATTCACCTGTTAATAATACTGTAATACAGTACTGTTTAATGTAGAGTAAAAGAAATTGGGGACTATATAAGTCGTACACCCTAAAACTTGTGGTGCTATAGAGGTGTTTGAACAAATTGTTTAAGCTCATTAGAGGAAACCACAGTTACCACAATTCTATAAATACATTATATAAAAAATTTCTAGTTAGAGTACAGTACTGGACTTGCATTGTTTACTTAGTTCTGTACTGTACTACACAGTAATTTTGATAATCTCTGGATTTCTGTGTAAAAACATGTAAAGTAATTATTTTAATTGCTTTGAAAGACAATTGTAAGAGTAAAATTACAATAGTAAATACTGTATTTGATGCATACTGTAATTTTTATTACTATTGTTTCTAACATTTTATACTTGGTTTCAGTCCTGTGTAAAATGGAACTTTGGGTAAGTTTATGTATTTTTGTCAATATCAAATTGGGGACATACATATAAATCAGCTTATTATGTCCTGTACAGTTGGTAGTTATTCAGTCTTGATGGTCTGTGTCCTGACATCATTTTATACTTCTTGCTATGGTTATGGTTGTTGTCCTCAAGGCTGTGTCTGTACATTAATCCTTTTGCTGTGATTCCAAATTTAACATTTTATTCAGCTTAGGGTAACCTCCTGCAGCCCAAGGGTAAAGCAAATAATTTTTTTTTAAGATGGGTCTTTTCACTTGAGGTTGTATCTCTTCAGTACTGGACAGTAATAATAATGGACCGAACTAAAGTTAAAAACTTATGACTGATGTGTCTGGGGGTTTATGAGCAAATGATGGTGATCTGTGAGAGAAAATGGCCACTGTTGGTCACTCAAAAATCCTGTTTACTATTTGAATGAAAGTCTGAATATATGTTATCAGACAAAATGATTATGATTTTGATGGTCTTTTCCATGACACATATCAACAGCAAGAATATGGCCCAATGTAAAGGTTTATTGTGCTGTGGATACACATACAGTACTGTATACAATTCTCTTCAGAAACTTAGCACACTTTTTTTAGGTCCAGGTATAAAGCTTTGTAAGGAAGATACTGTAATAACAACTTAAGGGGTTGACCTGGTGAGAGACTCAGAGGTCAGATAAAGGTTTTCACTTAAATTTCCCTCATATTTTAATGCAAATAAGATACTTTATGGACATGATCAACGAATGATATTATAGTAGTCACCTCCCTAATAAGATCACTTTAACAGGAACTTGAATTACTCCAGGGGCAACAGTATACAGTACTGAGGATGTGCACACACACACACACACACATACACACACACTATTTCTTCAGACAATTTCCCCCATTTGGTTCCCATTAATAATATTACAGTACAGCCTTGTCTCAACCCCACAGCAAAACAACCAATTCAATTTTTAATCACAGCGTCTTTACTACAGTACAGTGATGTCAAAAAATAGCCACACTATACACTTCAGTATTTGATACTGTATAGCCAACTCGATGTACTAGCCAGATTAACACTCATTGTCACTGCTGTACCCAACCAAGTGCTGTGGACATCCTATGTTTCTGAATCTGCTGTATTGCCTTACTTATTGTACTGGGCTATATGAGGTTAGTTTGGTTAGGTTATTGTGAATATTTAAACCTTTTTCTCTGCCTTGTTCGTCTTGGTACTCGAGAAAGATAAAGTTTTCTGCTGCAAGTACATCTCTGTAAGTTAATGGTTTATTCTTCACACTTGCATTTATTTTGAGTTTTAAGTAATATTCACACCTGTAAATTTTGAAATATAAACCATCTCCACACCTGCAAGTGTTCATGTCTGAAATAATCTCTAACAAACATGTAAAGAAATTAAATACTATCTATATCTGCAAGTGTTAAGAGATTAATAATTTCCACACCTGCCTGTATCAGAGCTTGCACTAATACACCAGGTGGCTGCTCTTGAAATTAATTAAAGTCAGAAGGAGAGTATGGACCATCTGAAGATTAGCTTCTAGCATATTTTACCCTAATGTTGACCTAACCTGATTTAACCTAACCTAACATACTCTAACATAACCTACGTTAACCTAACCTGATCTAGTCTAACATAGCCCGCATTAACCTAACCTGATCTAGTCTAACATAACCTACATTAACCTAACCTGATCTAGTCTAACATAACCTACATTAACCTAACCTGATCTAAACTAACCTAATCTAGTCTAACATAACCTAACCCCCCCTCAGGTAACATTGGGGTGTTAAATCATCAGGTAAAATAAGCTGGTGGTGCCTAATCTTCATATGATCCGAAAATATGAACTATGATGCATTTGAGGTGTTAGTGGTTTCAAATCTAGATCCAGATTCACAAAAATTCCTAAGATACATTTCCCCCATAACATTACATGTAAGAACTGATCTGACTGGTTCATTTTAGCCATGACACGTATGAAGCATCTAATATGGCATCCAAATCACGTTGAGACTTCCTTACAAAGATTCGAGTGAAAGTGAGAATAATTTACATACGAGGCGATGAGAATCTCGAATCTAAATCTTGTGGATGAGATTTAAGACAAGATTCACTATATAAATTACATTGAATATCTATCATGGTGTGTATATATTTTACTGACAATAAATATATAGTTATATAAATCCCAGCAAAGGGAGGATGAATTAATGTACAAATTTATGGTAATTTTGGATCTAGACTGGATAATGTTGTTGAAAGTTAAGACAAATCTACCATGGAAATCTCGAAATTGTATGACGGTGCATTTCTTGTACCGGGAGAAAGTCTACTGGGGAATTTTTGGATATATGATAGCTGCCGAGACTGTGGGGCGGAGGACCACCAGCCTCAGGGGTCGTGTGGGTGGACCCGACAACCAGTTCTCCAGTGGGTTGCAGGTCAGAGAGGCCTTAGTCCCTTTAGACCTTAATTTAAATTATTTTGCCTTTTGGACTGAGACCCACTTAGAACTGGGACCCGTTAGGATGTGGGTCCATTTTGGACAGGCCAAATAGGATTTTGACCTATATTGGCTTGTGCCCCAAATCCTTATGATTAAGATATGTTGGATTCTATTAGGACTGGGGTCCATGTGGCCAGTGTGGATACAGCACACTGAAGGCTCTACTAAACTTTGTGTACACAAAGGCATTCACAGCTGGGTGGACTGGGAGTGCCCCGGAATTGAACCAGTGACCCTTGGGACTGGAGGGGAGCGTTGTATCCACTCGGCCGCCACGCCCCGTATACCCGATAATTTAGATGTAATTCCGGTACCCCACCCACACTGGGCTGGGTTTTTACATTCCTCGGGTATTTGTATTTCTCAAGTCATGAGTCTTGCGAAACACACATGTCAATTTGTGTTGTTTTTTCGCTTGATCTTGTGCTAAGTTTGCCTCCCCACGTGTGTAAATGATTATTATTTTTGTAAACCTAGCATCAGCAAGTTAAAGTTTCTAGAAGTATTCAAAACATGTATACTGTAGTGTTTAAATATTATGAGAGCCATTTCATTTTATATTTATGGTTGTTTTAGTGCATAGTAACAGAGGTTAGTGTATACATTTTAATACAACGTTAATAAGAAAGTTTTAATTAAGGATGAGCTGAGTAAAGAGATTGAGGCAGCTGTCAGGAACAGCTGATAGTAGCCTGCCAAAACTCCAGGCCAAAGACATCTGGTATTTATTAATAAATGTATCTCCATTTACTTTACTCCAAATTATAATTAATATATAACTCAAACGAAATTTTAAATAAAAAGCATATTATAAAAAAATAAAGTTATTAGTGATATATATGTATTATGGTGAAAATTTATTAAATGCTTCCATGCTCCCGCTAATTTCGCCGCTATCATTCGTCAACCAGTAGAAGAGGGAGGAGGAGGTGTTTTCCTGTACTGTACACATTTAACCTAATAATGACCTTCACGCCAGTATCATTTAGTGCTCCGATATCAAGGTTGATAATGCCTGGAGGATGGTCATCATGTGTCATAATTACGTGAGTAAAAGGAATTTTTTTGGTTGGAATTAGTCATTAAAAATGCCAGTTGTGTCCAATTTGCCACTACGGTATTCCCATTGGATAGGAAGCTCATCTATTTACAAAGCCCAATGGAAATAAACTTTATAATTCCTTTCTTGGGTTATTTTGGATTGAATCTACCTCATCCTTTGATATTGATTAATTTGATTTCCTACATAATGCCGAAGCAGTGTGAACGTGTTTGACAACATTACTGAATACTGTATGGCTAAAGAGAGTTTGCTGAAATAATTAATACTTCACATCGACACCTGAACTACCTATGTTCGACTAACTAAAAAAAACCCACACACACACATATATATAGAAAACTACAAATTTAACGCGGGAATAACACTTTATAATTTTATTTTTCCTTTTTTTCTCAATAAGTAATAATGTTTCAGCCGCGACCATCCACGAGTCATAGTTGTTGACACTCGTACCAGCGGCCGAAGGCTTCCAGGGAACACACACACACTTCTCCTTACTGCTTATTATATCACTAAAGATAAAATGAACCAACCAACTCTACCCATTGAAAGAGCTGTTAATTTAACCCGAACAATAAATGAACATACAGGGTTAGGTTAAATATTGTGCTATCGTATTGAGGTGGTGGTCAAGATAAGGTTCAAATAGCAAGTGTTTTCATAAATGGATTCTTGAACCGCTAGCTTATGGGTGTAGTTTTGTATTAATAGCTTGGTATTTTTACTTTATTTATTTGTGGGTGGTAGTGATGTGATTGAGGGAATGTTGGTAGTGAGATGACGGAGGTAAATATTGATATTGAATAAGAATGAGTTGTAACTGAATAAACGACAATGGTTGGCTGTGAGTAAGTACGTCCCAATAATACCACCGGGGACAGTGTTGGGCGTGGCATAGACCGTGAACCACTACCACCTGTACACTCCCAGCATTAATATTATCCCACAGGTATACCAGGTGTGAGTGATGGTCTGGGTGATAATTACATACCTTACCTTAAATAATGTGTTAAATTTGTCCTATCGGGTGAATCTTGCACTTACCTGTCCACCTCGCATTCTATTTTCGTTTGTTTTTTAATTCTTACGTGTATGATAAATATTTTTTTTTTATATCTTCCAGGTTTATATTATTGTTTATATAGCGAGAGATTAAGGATTCCCGTTTTCTATAGTAAGTGATTAAATAAGTCTTATGGTGTGGGTAGTTAGTGTGGGGGAGGTTGGTGTGGGTAGTTAGTGTGGGGGAGGTTGGTGTGTGGGTAGATGGTGTGGGGGGAGGTTGGGTGGGTGGTTGGTGTGGGGGAGGTTGGTGTGGGTGGTTAGTGTGGGGGGAGGTTACTGTGGGTGGTGGTGGTGGGAGGTTACTGTGGGTAGTGTGGGGAGGGTTGGTGTGAGTGAGTGGTTGGTGGGGGGTTACTGTGGGTAGTGGTTGGTGTGGGGGGCTTACTGTGGGCGGCTGGGCGGGGTTGTGGGCGTGGCAGGCGGGTATTGTGCAAGAGGCGTCGTCTTCACCCACACACACCCTTAGCTTCCTTTCCTCCTCCGCCCTCCCTCCAACACTCCTACCCTCCCTCCAACACTCCCTACCCTCCTCCAACACTCCCTACCCTCTCCAACCTCCCTACCCTCTCTCCAACACCTACCCCCCTCTCCTACCTCCCTACCCTACTCTCCTACCCTCCCTCCAACCTCCCTACCCTCCCTCCAACCTCCCTACCCTCCTCCAACACTCCCTACCCTCCTCCAACCTCCCCTACCCTCTCCAACCTCCCTACCCTCTCCAGCCTCCCTACCCTCTCCAACACTCCCCTACCCTCCTTCACTCCCTACCCTCCTTCCAACACTCCCTACCCTCTCTCCAACACTCCCTACCCTCTCTCCAACACTCCCTACCTCCTCTCCAACCTCCCTACCCTCCCTCCAACACTCATTCCCCCTAAAAAATATTACGCCCTATTTTTTTATAGTTATCAACACTTGTGAATTGATCTTAATTAATTGGCTTTTACCTTATAAGTGTTGGGGTCAATGTTTATAAGTGTTGGGGATAATGTTTATAAGTGTTGGGGATAATGTTTATAAGTGTTGGGGTCAATGTTTATAAGTGTTGGGGTCAATGTTTATAAGTGTTGGGGTCAATGTTTATAAGTGTTGGGGTCAATGTTTATAAGTGTTGGGGTAATGTTTATAAGTGTTGGGGTCAATGTTTATAAGTGTTGGGGTCAATGTTTATAAGTGTTGGGGTCAATGTTTATAAGTGTTGGGGTCAATGTTTATAAGTGTTGGGGTCAATGTTTATAAGTGTTGGGGTCAATGTTTATAAGTGTTGGGGTCAATGTTTATAAGTGTTGGGGTCAATGTTTATAAGTGTTGGTTTGTAGTAATTGGGAAAACTGTATTCGGTTACCCCAAAAATCAAGTACAGAAAGTGTGTGTGTGTGTGTGTGTGTGTGTGTGTGTGTGTGTGTGTGTGTGTGTGTGTGTGTGTGTCTGTAGGGGAATAGTGAATGGTGTGCTTGTGTTTGAGGGGATGAACGGTATGTGTCTGTCTTTGTGTGTGTGTGTGTGGGGTTCACTTGTGTGTATGTATGTGTGTACGTTTTGTTGTAGGTTTGCATGCGTGTGGTTACTGTGGTATACTCGTGTGTATGTGTGTGTGTGTATATGTGTGTGGCTTGTATAAGTGTGCTATACTTGCGTGTATCCTACAGTACGTGTGTATGGACGTGTGTGCTTTATGGGCGTTCGGTGTGTGTGTGTGTGTAGGGTGGGGTGGGGTGGGGGAGGTGTGTAAGAAGTAGGTTAGTAAGAGTGTGGGGTAGCTCGGGTTAAGACACGACACAACACATTAATAAGAATGGTAAGGCTGGCGGGAGGCCCTACAGCTGCGCGTTCGTATGTTTGTGGAGGGCGGTGCCTCGCCAGGCCATTTTAGATGATCTCTGCGGATTCGGACGATGTTAATATGTTTCAACTTGGGCATGAGGCCGTTCACCCGTTCCCTGACACACCTGGGGTTAAAATGGGGTATTTGCCGCTGTTGTGGGCGTGTTGTGGAGGCAGGAGTGGGCGTGGAGGTGAGGCAAGTTGGGTAATGAGGTAGCATTAAGGTACAGCTGTGCACGGCACCCACAGCCTGGCCGCCCCACACCTCTCACAATGTTTCGCGCCGCCCACCCCTCTTAGGCCCGCCCCCCTCCCACTGATCTTTTAAATTGTGTTCGCCACCGCTGCTGACCAGCCGTGGACATGATGCGGCAAATGTGGTGCTCATTAACACCTCTACCACACACCTACTGCCGCTAGAACACTGACGCTGTGGCAGGTGTGGGGCAGGACACGCCGGGGGAGTTGGGGGCCAGGTGGTGAGGAGACGTAGCGGGGGCAGGGAAGTGCTCGCTTTGTAACAGGTGCAACAGGTCAGGGTGGACCACTACCCCACACACACACACACACACACGTACACACAGACACACGCATGCATATAGGACATTCACACACGGAGGCTCACATGCAGACAGGCATATACCACCTTGTCGTCAGCACACAAGTGACTTCATAGGAAAATATGAATGTTTACTAATGAAATGTGGACAGTGGTGGACATATGAAGGTATGCACTGCCCACGTACACACATGTAGTTATGCATCGGCCACGTACATATGTAGGTATGCACAGCCTACTTACACATGTACGTGTGCACCGTTCACGTACTCACATAGGGCAGCACTACAAGAGCACACAAAAACATGTCAACAGCCTTAAGCAGCAGTAGGTAATAAGAGGTGGAGGATTGTGCCGCTACACACCCCGGCAGTCATGAGAGGTGAGCGTGCAGGGCATTGATTCACTGGAGGTGGGACACACGAGGGTGGGGACCACGAGTAACGTGCACGCGCGTGGGTGGACACCGGAGACGGGGAGAGCGCGCGCGTGTCCAGCTGCCGACTTTGACGCGCGTGCGTGTTTATGGTGGGTACCGGACCCAGCGTGAGCAGGACCGCCTAGGGCCGCGTTAACTCCGCCTCAATCCACAATAGGAGGTGACAACGCCTCTTTGCCATATAATAAGGCTAATATATTCGTGTCCTATGGCAGTGTGCACTCCTCCCATCTTCATAATGAATATAAACACGATTATGGGAGGGAGGGTTCCCTACAAGGCTGTGTGTAAGCTCAGCGACTAGCTGTGGGCCGGGGGAGCCGCGCACGTCTGGCAGCTCCCAGCGAGTCTACATGTGGCGGGAAACACGCGCTCCTACCTCATATGTTGGCAAAATCGACTAAAACACAGTTTCCACTGTAGGATATGATGAATTAGCCCGGGGATGGTGGAATAGGAGTAAAAAGGAGGGTAAACATGGCAGGTGCGGGCGTGCACACGGGTCAGCGGGCAGGTTGTAAAGTGAGACGAGCAGTATGCCAAATATGGGGATGGATTTGTCGAGTATGTGGCGGTCTGGTAGGGTCGCACCAAAATTAGAGGAGCAGCCTCGTACAGCGTGTGTGTGTGTGTGGACGCTGGTGTGTGTGGTACCTGCTGTCGTCCACAGTGGTACTTCGTTGTTGGTACTCGGTGGTGGTCGTGTGGTACTGCGCCAGCCATAAGCTTACAACAGCAGCGGCGGCCGGTTATGCTCGCGGCCCTTGTTAATCAGTCCAGTGGTGTGCCTTACAATCAGTGCTGTGTGTTTGTTGCTTGTAAGTGAATTAATGGGGGATACAGTGTTGATACAGTCCCTGGGATGATCATGTGGACACACGCCCGCCCTCGCCACATACGCTCTCAGAAATGCGCGCAGGATGTAAATTGAAGAGGATTAATTCACTGTAGGTAAGTGAGACGCCCTTGTGCTTTGGTGTTGCAGGAAGAAAGTTACTCTTGGAAGCAGGTGGTTGTTGTTGTGTGTTAGGGGGAGCGACATACTGCAGGTAGGCCGCCGTGTTTGGTGCGTCACTGCAGATAGTAAAGTTTTTGCGTGTTGTATTACGCAATCATTCATGTATTACTGTAACTTGTTGTTGTAGACTCGAACGTGTTTACACCTCGTCAACCCCCATAATATGAAGGGTAATACGGAGGTGTGATAGTGGCAGTGCACATCACGTAGAGTAAGATATTCTTATTAATAGAACAACTGGTGGGTGGCGCGTTATGGAGCCTCACTTAACCTTACTGCACGTCCAGTATCTGTTGACGATAACCCTCGAGCGGGAACTGCTAACTGTCTTAAGCGGCATTTGCTACGTAATACAAAAACACATAAAAATCGCTCCAACACATTTATTCCTCTCCCAAACATTAATAAAATGTTAAAACTAAACATTGTATTATAACAAGTTGAAAGTAACAGTATGGCACGTGTATTATACAGCCTGGGGGCAGTGTGTACAAGACTCGTGCTTCAGTACAAGCGTGTAACAATGTGTGAATATTAAGTTACTTCACTGTATTCTGTGTGTGTAATGTGAGGACCATAGTTTGTGTATGTACAGTAGATGTTTTGCATATATGTGTGTACGGGGTATTGCTAATAGTGTGTTGTTGTGTTGGTGTTGTTGTTTTTGTGTTACTGTTGTTGAGTTTGTTTTTGTTGTTTTTGTGTTAGTGTTTGTTGTTGTTTGTTTGTGTTATGTTGTGTTAGTGTTGTTGTTGTGTTAGTGTTGTTGTTGTGTTAGTGTTGTTGTGTTAGTGTTGTTGTTGTGTTAGTGTTTGTTGTTGTGTTAGTGTTGTTGTGTTAGTGTTGTTGTGTTGGTGTTTGTTGTTGTTGTGTTAGTGTTGTTGTGTTAGTGTTGTTGTTGTGTTGAATTGTTGTTGTTGGTGTTGTTGTGTTAGTGTTGTTGTTAGTGTTGTTGTTAGTGTTGTTGTTAGTGTTGTTGTTAGTGTTGTTGTTGTTAGTGTTGTTGTTGTTAGTGTTGTTGTTGTTAGTGTTGTTGTTGTTAGTGTTGTTGTTGTTAGTGTTGTTGTTAGTGTTGTTGTTAGTGTTGTTGTTAGTGTTGTTGTTAGTGTTGTTGTTGTTAGTGTTGTTGTTAGTGTTGTTGTTGTTAGTGTTGTTGTTGTTAGTGTTGTTGATGTTGTGTTAGTGTTATTTGTGTTAGTGTTTATTTGTTGTTGTTTGTGTTAGTGTTGTTGTTGTTAGTGTTTGTTGTTGTTGTTGTGTTAGTATTATTTGTTGTGTTAGTGTTTGTTGTTGTTGTGTTAGTGTTGTTGTTGTGTTAGTGTTTGTTGTTGTTGTGTTAGTGTTGTTATTTGTGTTGAGTGTTTATTTGTTTTTGTGTTAGTGTTGTTGTGTTAGTGTTTTGTTGTTTATTTGTGTGTTATGTTGTTGTGTTAGTATTTATTTGTTGTGTTAGTATTTGTTGTTGTGTTAGTGTTTGTTATTTGTTGTGTTAGTGTTTTGTTGATGTTGTTGTTAGTATTTGTTGTGTTAGTGTTGTTATGTTAGTGTTGTTTTGTTGTTGTTGTTGTTGTGTTAGTGTTTTTGTGTTAGTGTTGTTGTTGTTTTAGTGTTATTTGTTGTTGTGTTAGTGTTGTTGTGTTATGTTGTTGTTGTTGTTGTTAGTGTTTGTTGTTGTGTTAGTGTTGTTGTTTGTGTTACTGTTGTTCTTGTGTTAGTGTTTGTTGTTGTGTTAGTGTTGTTGTTGTTGTTAGTATTTGTTAGTGTTGTTATTTGTTGTTGTTGTGTTAGTATTGTTGTGTTAGTATTTGTTGTTGTGTTGTTAGTGTTGTTGTGTTAGTGTTATTTGTTGTGTTAGTGTTGTTGTTGTGTTACTGTTGTTGTTGTGTTAGTGTTTGTTGTTGTGTTAGTGTTGTTGTTGTTGTGTTACTGTTATTTGTTATTTTTGTGTTACTGTTGTTGAGTTTGTTTTTGTTGTTTTGTGTTGTAGTGTTTGTTGATGTTATGTTAGTGTTGTTGTGTTGATGTTGTTGTGTTAGTGTTGTTGTTATGTGTTAGTATTTGTTAGTGTTGTTGTTGTGTGTTAGTGTTATTTGTTGTGTTAGTATTTGTTGTTTGTGTTAGTGTTGTTGTTGAGTTAGTGTTGTAGTAGTGTTGTTGTTGTGTTAGTGTTGTTGTTGTGTTAGTGTTGTTGTTGTGTTAGTGTTGTTGTTGTGTTAGTGTTATTTAGTGTTGATGTTGTATTAGTGTTGTTGTTGTGTTAATTATTTGTTGTTGTGTTAGTGTTGTTGTTGTGTTGAGTGTTGTTGTTGTGTTAGTGTTGTTGTTGTTAGTGTTGTGTTAGTGTTGTTGTGTTAATTGTTGTTGTGTTATATTTGTTGTGTTATTGTTGTTGTTGTGTTAGTGTTGTTGTTGTGTTAGTTGTTGTTGTTGTGATTGAGTATTTGTGTGTTGTTGTGTTAGCATTGTTATTTGTTAGTGTTGTTATTTGTTGTGTTAGTGTTATTTGTTGTGTTAGTGTTGTTGTTATTTGTTGTTGTTGGTGTGTTGTGTTAGTGTTGTTGTTGTGTTGTGTTGTTGATTTGTTATTTGTTATGTGTGTTAGTATTATTTGTTGTGTTAGTGTTGTTGTTCGTGTTAGTGTTGTGTTAGTGTTGTGTTTTAGTATTTATTTGTGTTGTGTTGTTGTGTTAGTGTTGTTGTTGTGTTAGTGTTGTTTCGTTAGTGTTGTTGTTGTTGTGTTGGTGTTGTTGTTGTGTTAGTGTTGGTTGTTGTGTTAGGCGTTGTGAGTGTTGGTGGTATTAGTGTTTTGTTGTTGTGTTAGTGTTTGGTTGTTGTGTTAGCGTTGTTGTGTTAGTGTTGTTGTTGTGTTAGTGTTGTGTTAGTGCTGTGCTGGTTTAGCGTTGTTGTTGTGTTGGCGTTGCTTGTTGTGTTAGCGTTGTTGTTGTGTTAGCGTTGTTGTTGCTGTGTTAGTGTTGTTGTTGTGTTAGTGTTGCTGGTGTTAGTGTTGTTGCGTTAGTGTTGTTGCTGTGTTAGTGTTGTTGTTGTGTTAGTGTTGCTGTTGTGTTAGCGTTGTTGTTGCGTTAGTGTTGTTGCTGTGTTAGTGTTGCTGTGTTAGTGTTAGCGCTGTTGTTGTTAGCGTTGTTGTGTTAGTGTTGTTGTTGTGTTAGTGTTCTTGTTGTTGTTGTGTTATGTTGATGCTGTGTTAGTGCTGATGCTGGTGTTATGTTCATTGTTGTTGCTTGTGTTAGTGTTGTTGTTGCGGTTAGTGCTTGCTGTTGTGTTAGTGTTGTTGCTTGTGTTAGTTGTTGCGTTAGTGTTGCTGTTGTTGTGTTAGTGTTGCTTGTGTTAGTGTTGTTGGTGTTAGTGTTGTTGTTGCTGTGTTAGTGTTGTTGTTGTTGTGTTAGTGTTGTTGTTGTGTGTTAGTGCTTGCTGTGTTAGCGTTGTTGCTGTGTTAGTGTTGTTGTGTTAGCGTTGTTGTGTTAGTGTTGTTGCTTGTGTTAGTGCTGTTGCTGTGTTAGCGTTGTTGCTGTGTTAGTGTTGCTTGTGTTAGTGTTGTTTGTGTTAGTGTTGTTGTTGTGTTAGTGCTGTTGCTTGTGTTAGTGGGTTGTTGTGTTAGTGTTGTTGTTTCTGTTAGCGTTGCTTCGTGTTAGTGTTGGTTGCTTGTGTTAGCGTTGTTGTTGTGTTAGTGCTTGTTGCGTTAGTGTTGTTGCTGTTGTGTTAGGTTGGTTGCTGTGTTAGGCGTTGTTTGTGTTGAAGTGGTTGCTTGGTGTTAGCGTTGTGTTGCTGTGTTAGTGCTGGTTGCTGTTTGGTGTTTACTGTGGTTAGGCGCTGTTGCTGGTGTTGTGGTTGTTGCTGGTACGTCGTCGTTGATTTGCTGGTTGTGTTATGCGTTTAGCGTTGTTGGTTATTAGTGCTGTTGTTGTTGTGTTAGCGTTTGCTGTGTTAGGCGTTGCTGTGTTAGCGTTGTTGTGTTAGTGTTGTTGTTACTGGTTGTGTTAGTGTTGTTGTTGCTGTGTTAGTGCGTTTGCTGTTGTGTTAGCGTTGCTTCGTGTTGGTGTTGTTGCGTTGCTTGTTGCTGTTACCGGTTGCTGTTGTAGTGCTACGTCGTTAGTTGTGTGTTAGTGTTGCTGTTGCTGTGTTAGCGTTGCTGCTAGTGTTAGCGTTGCTGTGTTAGGCGTTGTTGTTAGCTGTGGTTAGTGCTAGGTTGCTGGTGTTGTTAGTGTCAGCGTTGCTGTGTTAGTGCTGGTTGTTGCTCGTGTTAGTGTTGCTGTTGGTTGTTGCGTTAGCGCTCGTGTTAGTGTTGTTGGCGTTAGTGCTGTTTTGCTGTTATGAGCGTTTTTGTTGTGTTAGTGTTGCTGTTGCGTTAGGTTGTTGTTGTGTTAGGGTGTTGTTGTGTTAGCGTTAGCTGCTGTTGTGTTAGTGTTGTTGTTGCTGGTGTTAGGTGTTGTTGTGTTGTTGTGTTAGTGTTGGTTGTGTTGTGTTGACGTTGCTGTGTTAGCTAGCGTGTTAGCGTTGTTGCGTTGGCGTTGTTGTGTTAGTGTTGTGCGTTGTTGTGTTAGCGGGTTGTTGTGTTAGTGTTGTGTGTTAGTGTTGTTGCTGCGTTAGCGTTGTTGTGTTGAGTGTTGCTGTGTTAGTGTTGTTGTTGTGTCAGCGTTGCTGTGTTAGTGTTACGTGCTGGGTGTTGAGTGGTTGCTTGCTGTTGCTGTTAATTGCTTCGGTTGTTAGTGTTAGTGTTGGTTGTGTTAGCGGGCTTGAAGTTGGTTGTTAGGGTGTTAGTGCTTGCTGTGTCAGTGCCGGTTGTTGTCCTGTTGCGCTCGCTTTGTTGCGTTAGCGTTTGGTTGTGTTAGTGGTTAATGTTATTAGCGCTGTTGTTGTGTTAGTGTGTTGTTATGTTAGTGCTTGTTGCTGTTAGTGCTGGTGGCGGTTGTGTTGT